ACCTCCTCCATCACTCTGTGCCCTTTCCATACCTCACATTTCCCTAGCAATGGTCACAACTCAATATACTTTATACCCATTTGCTTACATAGTGTAGGTTGTTACCCCATCACTATATACGTTCAGTAAGAATAGAGTCTTGTGAACTTAGACGTCCCAAGGTCCTCTAACAGTGCCCAACAAATACAAGGGTACTTCAAAAACTTCATGGAAAATGGAGTTAAAAGATGTTTATTTTGGTGTAAATCATTGTTTAAAAATCCATGCATGGCTTTTTTTCATCACATACATATTCCGTGAGCTTTTCATGTGCATGAAATGAATGGCCTTGTTGAACAGCCTCACCCAGGCCTCCGGTCACCGTGTGAAAAGGGTCCAGATGGTTGTCAGATTAATACAATCAGAGTCAGCTCCACGTGAGGCGTGCATGGAGACCACCAGGTTACGTGTTCATTTAGTACCAGGGACCCCTGCGGGGTTCACAGACGTTCTCAGTCTGCTTCCCGGCGCCAAAGCATTTGCTGAACTCTAAGGTAGAATGAAACATCTGCCGTTGACTTCGTGCCATTCCACCGTCCTCTGGGACTCAGTGTGCTCATCTGTGAAATAGGCAGTTGGAGGCGAGGGTGCAGCTCTGCCAGTTTATGGTCTGCAAGGGGCTCGAGGCAGCAGTGCAGTCAGGAAGATCAGCCACACCGTGTGCTGGAGCTGACTGCCTGTGCTTGAATCCTGTCTCCTGTTCTCACAGCCACGTGACCTTGGGCAGCTTACTCCGTTTCCTCGTTTGTAAAGTGGGAGCAATAGAAGGATGGTAAGAGCACCTAATCCAAAAAGTGATTATGAGGAGAATATGGCAATCCCTGCAGAATGGGTGGCACGTGGCCACCCCTAGTAAGTGCCCAGTAAATGTTAGCTAATAAAATTGAAAAATTCTGGGGGAGGTTCTGAGGGGTCATTGCTGTGTATGTGTTTTGCACGCGATGAACTACCCTAGAATATCAGGGAATTGTTAAAGGTGCGCGAGATACTGTGGTTAGGTAGGAGAATGCTCCTGTCTTCAGGAGATGCCTTGTGCAATACTTAGGATTAAAGCCTCACAGTGTCTGTCTCCTAATCTAGTCGCATTCGTCTCTATGTTTCTGCGTCTACCAATAAAGCAAATGTGGTCAAGTGTTAATTGTTGAGGCACAAATATTGTAGTTTATTGTACTACTTTTTCAACTTTCCTGCATGTTTGAAAATTTCAAAATAAAAAATTGAAGGGAAAAAGAAAGGACATAGTTTCGTGAAGTTTAGTGAAGTCCAACATTCATTTTGTTAAAGATTTATTTATTTGAAAGGCAGAGATGTGGGGTGGAGGGAGAGAGAGATACCTCTTTCATCTGCTGGTTAACTTTCTAAATGGCCACAATGGCCGGGCTGGGCCAGGCCAAAGTCAGGAGCCAGGAGCTTCATCCAGGTCTCCCATGTGGGGAGGGGCCCAAGTGCTTGGGCCATCTGCTGCTGCTTTCCCAGCTGCATTAGCAGGGAACTGGATGGGAAGTGGAACAGCTGAGACTCGAACTGGTGTCCATATGGGGTACCTGCCCTGCAGGCTGAGGCTTAGACTTCTACACCATAGCGTTGGCCCCCAACATGCATTTCTTAAAAATTACCCATTTATTTATTTGAGAGGCAGAGACAGAATGAAAGGCAGTCCCCCTCTGTTGGTTCACGCCCCAGCTGCCTCAACAGCCAGGATGTGTGCAGACTGAAGCGAGGGCCAGGAGCTCCAGCCAGGCCTCCCATGTTGGGGGCAGGAACTCAGTACTTGAGCCGTCACCTGCCCCGCGGAGAGCACGTTATTAGGACGCTGGCACTGGGAGCAGAGCTGTAACTGGGACCCATCACTCCACATGGGACACAGGTGTTCCAGAAACCCGGCTTCCAGGTCACGTCCCCCCGCGTGTGGGCTGGGGTGGCCCCTGGGACAACAGTGAGCCGCAGGGAACATGCCTCGCTGCCCCTCAGCGTCCCAGGCACATTCTGGGTGAGTGAAAAGGCAGGCATCCTGGTGCTTCCTTCCTGTGTACTGAGCAAGCCCAGGGGCCACGTGGTTGGAAGGTGCGATGAGAAGGTGAAGGCAGCACAGGGCCACCTCTGACAACCTGCGAGCGGAGCATGCAGTTCCGGTGCCGTCTGCTCCTGGCGCTTGAGTGGCGGCGGTGGGGTGTGTGTGTGTCCAGTCTGGGATGCAGAGGAGAGAGGGACGCGGAAGGGTGGGGGCCAAGGCAGGGAGGAGCCGCGACTTCTGAGCTTCCTGCGAGAAGGGACCCCCGGGTGTGGCCTGGGATGAAACATGAACTGGAAACAATGTCCTGTGGACTGCAGCGTCCTCCTCTAGCTAATGGGGTTCGCCGCAGTGGGAAGGAGGGAGGAGGGGAGGCCATGCATGCCCGGGTGAGGGAGCAGGGCACACAGAGAGGAAACCGGAGAGAGAAGAGAAAAAATTCAGGAGAGGAAGCCCGGGGGAGGGGCCAGGACCGGGTGGTGCGGGCGGCTGCAAAGGTACACGCCGCACCCAGCGACCTGCGCTCCCGGGGGACGCTCCTGTGGCCCGTTCCTCCGGGCCCGAGTCCCCGGGGACCGCGCCGGCGAGCGCAGAGCTCCCGGCGCCCTCGCGGGGGAGGGGCGGGAGAGGCGGGGCCTGGGGCGGGGCCTGGGGCAAGCCTGCGGCCGCGGGCGGGGCTCCCCGGGAGGGCGCCCGAGTCTGGGGGACGCGGCGTCCCCCTCCCCGCCCGCGGAGGCGCCTGGCCCCTCCTCCCCCGGCCGCCCCCCGCCCCCGCCGCTGCCGCTGTCGGAGATAAGCCGGGTGGTTGCCTGCAGGAGCGGCGGCAGCAGCGGGCGATCGGGCCGTGAGAGCCTCGGGCGCGGCCTCGCCTCCCGGGCCCGGCGGCCGCATCAGCACCGCGGACAGCGCAGCGCCCCCCACCCTCCGGCCCCCCGCATCAGCACCGCGGACAGAGCGCCCCGGCTCGCCGCCGCCAGCCCACCCGCTGCCCGGGTCAGCACCGCGGACAGCCCCCGGCCCGGCCCTGGAGCGGTCAGCGCCCCCGGAACATGGCCACGGAGGTAGGGGTCGAACGCCCGCCCGGTCCGCAGGCAGTGCCCGACTGTCCCGCGGTAGCGAGCACCCGCCGGGAGCCGGCCGGGCGGGAGTGGGAGGGGGCCGAGTCCGGGAAAGGGTGGGGGCGGGGACAGGGTGGAAGAGCCGGGCCCTGGGTGAGGGGCCCTCCCCCACGTCCCCTGGGCCCCCAGGCTGCCCGCCCCACTTGTTGGCAGTGGCACCAGGGTTGCTCTGCGGCTCTAGCCGGGTTTCTCTGCCTCTGGACCACAAGTCCTGAAACGGCTTCCCCAGGGGGTTGGGGCGGGAGAGGAGGGGAGGCGCTGCTGTTGCTAGGCGGTGCAGTCGTCCAGCTTCTGAACCCAGCGCTTGGCGAAGGGAGGACAGACCTGCCTCGCCATCCGCATTTCCTTTGGAGAAGGAAGGGGCAAAGAGAACCCCAGTGGCTGGTTTTAATGAGCTGCCTGCACCCACCCCCACTAGGGCACCTCACCATTCCGTGCTGCTTTGACCCCACCTGACTTTCCTGCCCCAGGTGTCCACATAGCCCCTGTGTCTGTTGGGAGGTGCCACGTTCTTAGGGGTGTGCCTATAGGTGTGTCACCTTCAAGGGACTTGAAAACTGAACTCAGGGACCTGTTAGCCAGGGGCAGAATCTTGGTGCACTGCCTAAGAGCTCAGGAATTCCGCCTTCCACCCCTCGGCGCTACTCCTCTCCCCACCCTTCAGGGAGGGAGCTGGGAGCTCTTTATGCCCTACGGTGTAGGTGATAAAGCAGAAGGCAAGGGCCGATCTGGTACTCAGCACGCCAGCAGCAGGGCTCCAAGTTTCATCCTTTGAATCTTTGCAGTGGGACCCAGGGCACCAGTCTCCCAGGTTTTGATGTCGACTTCCTTTGTGGTGTCTCCCCACTTCCAGCTGCACTGGAACACCACCGGGACGAGAGCAGAGGCCTCTGAATGAGAGTGCCTGTGGGCGTCCGGGCAAGCAGCGTGACAGCAATGCCAAGTGCTATTGTGATTCCGCTGAAGTCTGCCACAGAACCCGGAGCACTTGCTTGGCGTTGTTCTGCTTTCAGACAAAGCGCAGGGCTGGCTAGGAGGAGACCTTGCCCTCCCAGGACCCAGTGTGGGACAAGCCCCAGGCAGACTCTTGGAGCTTGGTTTCTGGAGTGGAGGAATGCGGAGTATTTGGGAAGTGCCAGAGATCCTGAGAAGAGCAGGAAGAACAGCAGGAGAAATGGCCAGGAGCTGGTCGCCTTCCAGACGGGGCTGCCAGACTGCAGCAGAGGCTGCTGAGGCTGGGCAGGACGGGGCTTCAGCAGTGTGGGCCAAGCAGGCAGCTGCCTCTGTGAGGCGACCTGACAGATCTCAGCAGGCCCATCTGTCCCAGTGTGCTCCCTCTCGGGTCTGCCACGGTCCCCAGATTGCACCCAGCAGGCTCACATCCCTAGGGCGAGGCGGTGTTGCTGGGGGCTGCGGTCAGACCTGCGAGACTCTCTCCCCTGGGAGCAGCTCTGCCCATCTCGCCTTGGTGAACATAGCACTTGCCTGTGTGCAAAGCATGATCGCACTCACGATTTCCTTTGAGGCTTAGCCCAGCTCTGTGAAGTGGGCAAGGATGGTGTTATTATCTGCAATTAACAGAGGAGACAACTCAGGCTGGGAAGCTTGCTCAGTCTTCATTATCCCATTTTACAGGTGGTGCAACTGGAGTGCTCAGACTCCAGGAAAATACGGCTGTAAGATTGGCAGAGTCAGGACAGGAACCCGAGTCTTAGGTCTCTGTGTTCACTCATGGTATCTAAGTAGCCAATTATATTACCTGATAGGACAGAGCTAAGGGTCTTGAGATGAGTCTTTGATGGGGGGAGGGGCGTTTGCAAGGGAGTCAGGAGGGACTGGAGGGTGAGGGCTCAGGCTCCCAGCTGGCCTGGTTGGGTCAGCTGGAGGGCAGGGGGACAAAGGAGGGTCCAGCAGGGATGGGAGCAGAGAGCAGACACTGCCCCTTTCCCAGCTTGGCTCTGGTGGACTCCGAGGGCAGTCCTGCGGCAGGAAGCCCTAGCTCTACCGAGGCCCGGGACCTGTGCGTTATCTGGGCTCGGGTGAGTCATCCTCCCCAGGCTGTTTTCACTATTGGAACTGGGTTGAGATTACCAGGAAAAACCTGTTGGAGGCAGGGAAACCTCATTCCCAGTTCCCATGGCCATTCCCTTAGGATTCTGAACAGGAAGTTCTCAGCTCCAGGGGAAGGCGTCCGGAGCGGGAGAGAGGACATCTTTGAGTGGATCCTGGGTCTCTGCTCCCTAATTTCTGCTTAGGAGTTAGCCTGAGGGGAGGGCTGGAGGGAGGCCAGGGGAGGGATGGAGCCTCCTGAGTGATACACTGGCCTCGTTTGCAAAGCTGTAACAGCCCATTTCCGGAGTAGCACACCCCTGCGAATGTGTGTCACGGGGAGCACGGGGAGCACGGTCTGCCCTGGGAAGCAGTCACGGTGGCCAAGGGCACCTGGGAAGTGCCTGGCTGGGAGGGGCGTCTCCGAGTGGTGGAGTTCTGCCCCCACACCGAGCATTCATTCCAAAGTTTGCTCTCTGAGGGGTGGGATTAACAATTGGCAGACAACAGGCTGGTCTGGGTGCCGTGAGAGGAAGGGCGTCTGTGCTTGGTCTTCCATTCTTAGGCTTGACCTAAGAGCCTCACTCTTCGGCCATACGCCAGCCGGGGAACCCAGCCCTGACACATCAGCTGCATAATTCTTGAGTTGAGTGTCACCTGCATTTTGTGGAATGAGATGCCATTTAACCAGGCGGGAGACCTGGACCAAGTGGCCATCCTGTTTGTCTTAGGCGGGTGAACAGGGTCTGAGAGCTCATTTGCATTCCAATGCTTGCTCCTCCCAGGCAGTGCGATTGACAGCTGGGTGGCCTGCGGTACCTGCACTCGGAGCAGCCTCCCTACTCTTCTCACACTGCAGCCTGAAAGGTGGTGCCGTGCACCGGTTCTTGGTTGTGTCCTTACTCAGCTGCCAGCAGGTCGGGGAGTGGTGACGTGAGAGGGGGGGCCGGTCTGAGGAAGGCAGGAGGTGGAGAGAAGCGTGGGTCTCTGGGTCAGTTAAACCCCCAGGGCGTGCTCAGGGAAGCCCCAGGAGAGGGAACCAGGGGTTTGGCACTCCTCTTAAGACTTTGGAGCATCACGGATCTTAGCTTCCTGACTGCTAAGTAGCTGGCAAGCGGCCTGGAGCCTGCTGCAGCTCCAGTTCAAGGGCCTCGCTGTGGTATATTTCACAGAGGCCCCACACTGGCAGCTGTGGTCCAAGGGGGGCCTTAGTTGGTTTGCTTAGTGCTTCTACACTTGTTAAATTGATTGGAAACGTTTAAATATCAGGATATTTGCTGTTAAGAAGATATGGATTGTGGCTTTTTGAAAAATAGAAAGTCCTGGCGACCTCATGTGGCCAGGTCTCCGAGACGGGGCATGCCTTCTCTGATTGGCCACAGGCCCTGCCTCGCCCCTCACAGACCCTGGAAACACTTGTGTTTCTAAACCCTGATAAGGCTCTAGAACGTCAGAGCTGAGAGGGGCTTTCGTGATCCTGGAGTTCCAACTTCTCCGTTGCCAGTTAAAGAAAGGGAGGCCCAGCTAAGGGGTGACTTTCCCAGGGTCATGGGCCCCAGCGCTCAGGTCATGGGACATCTTTCCACCAGGGCTTCTTGGTACTTCACGGTGGAGCCACCATGGGTGGAGAGAGCCCGGCTTGCCCTAAATCCTGCTCTTGACCAACTGCAGATGAGCCTGTGATGTGTGTGTTCCGTGAAAGTCTGGGGGACTAAGGCTCTGGGCTGGGAAATGCGTCTGACGCTGCCCTGCAGCAGCTCAAGGCCCTGCCAGCAGTCTCTAGGGAGAGCAGCAGGTCTCTGTGCCGAGTCGGGGTAGTATCCTGCGGCTGTGGGTACTGTCAGGTTGGAAGGGGTGTTGACCTTTCCTGTTCTGGCTACTTAAGGACTCATGGATCAAAGCCAGGAGGACATGGAACTGTCTTATGTCAAGCAGCACCCAGCCATCTAACGCCTTAATCTCCTGGAAGTTTACTTCCCGCTCAGCCAAGTCCCAGACAAGTGTTCCTCACTGGTAGGTGGATCCCCTCCAGGCAGTGATTCAGGGGCCCAGGCCTTTTCCACCTTGTGGTTCCACCGTCTTCAGCACCTGAGTCCTTTGGTTTCAGTGAAAGGGGAAGGAGCCAGGAGGAGTGGGGCATCTTTATGAGTCAGGGCTATACACGGCTCTCATCACTTCCACTCCCATTGCACTTGGGAAGCAACTTGGTTGTGTGCCCAGGAGGGAGAAATGGCCCTGGTCCACAGCCAGTTAGTCTGTGGAGACACGCACCTTCATGGCAACACACGTGTGTACCCAGGTGTGCGTTCAGGCACAAAGAGGGTGTCAGAATGGCTGAGGCACTGTTCCTTCTCTCTATTTGCATCCTAACCACTGTTTTTCTTGGTTTAGATGAACTTGAGTTTTCCCCAGGACTACTACAAAAAGAAATTATCCCTTCTATGGGCCCAGTCTTGCTCACTCCCCCCGCGCCCCGACCTGCCAGAATGATGGTTCAGGGGCGGGGGATTCACTCCAATACTGACTGGCTCTTGCAGGTTGGTTTTAGAATGGAAGGGCGAGGCCACAGCCCTTTCCTCTCTTCTTTTGGAAAAACAGCATTTCACAGCTCTAACCAGGCAGAGCAGGCCCATCAAGGCTGAACTTGTTTATATTACCAAAGCCTTCTAGACTTTGCAGAATCATCATAGGATCCTAGTTGATGGGAATGAGACCTCCTCAACAAAAACTTGGATTAGAAGAACCAGGAGTGTCCACAGTAGAGGGTGCTCATCTGTGGAATCCAGTCCCAACACTCAGGGATCACATAGCGTGAACCTGGATTTAGGAGTCTCAGTGATTCGACCTTTTCAGGACCTTGCTCCACGGGTTATCTGTGCCTTCCACCTTGCTGACTGCCACGCCTGTCCTTTCTCCTGGCTTTTAGGCAAGCGTTCGCATCTTCCACCCGACATCCTCCCCTGAGCAGAAACCCCTCCAGCTTCGCGATCCAGCCATGGCCGCCTCTGCACTCCCAGCTCCCCCACTGCCCGGCCAGGCCCAGCCCAGCCCCTCGAGACCTGCCTCTAGTCAGTGAGGAGCTCTCGCTCACGCTGGTTTGTCCTTTGTCTGGGTTGCCTTTCCTCCTCACTCCCTTCCCCGCCTACCCCCCACCCCTGGTAACTCCTGGTTTCCTTTATGACTCAACACAGGCTCCAGGAAGCCTTTTCTGAGTAAGCCTCTCTGGGTGAGCTGTCGCTTCTCAGTAGCATGTATCACGGTCTAATTCATTATATATATACTTGTCTTCCTCCCTGGAGCTCACAGACTCCTGCCCGGCATCCCCAGAGCCTGGCGCTAGTAGACACTCAATAAGTGGGAGCCCAGTGACTGCATGGATTCAGCTTAATCACAGAGGATGAGCTGGCTGCCTGCGCACTCTGCCTTTGGCGCTTGGGCTCCGCGTGGCTCCAGTGTTAGGCACAGCTCCCCCAGAGGGATGCTTGTCTCCAGAGTGGGTGCCTGAGGCTGGGCAGATGGTGGAAAGAGGCTCTGTTCTGTGGGACTGAGCCCACTCCCTTCAAATGCTGCAGTCTATCTCAGCGTCAAGTCTGCAGGTGTGAGAAGGGGCAGAAACCACTGCACTTGTTCCTACCAGATAAGGCCGCTCCCTCACTTTCTGGCCTCCAGCTGCCTCACCCACAGTTTTCTCTGGGTAGGCTTGGACAATCCTGGGCCCTTTCCTATGTGGTGAGAAGTGCTGGGCGTGAGACCATCCATGGTGTTTTCTGGCCTGGCCATAATTGGGCCTGGGCCTGAGTTCAGGGGCACATCAGGTGCTCCCCTGACCCACACGCCCACCTCCCCAACCCTGTCATTAGCCCTGCTCGAGGGCCTGGGACTTCAGCCTTGACCTGACAAGTTGGGGACACGTGGTACGTGGTGAGTGAATGAAAGCAGGAAAGGAGAGAGAGGAAGTGGTGGGGGAGGAGACAGAGACGGACGGGGAGAGGGGAAGGGTCCGAGCCAGCCACCGGGAGGCCTTGTTGAATTTGTTTCAGGCTGTGTTGCCGGCTCCCAAGCCTCTCTTTCTGGCTCAGCTCTGACCCAGTGTTAGGCTCCTTAAAGGTCTCTCTGGGACGAGTGAAGGCAACGTCTCAGGTGAACGCCATGGCCCTGCTTCCCCACAGCCCTCCTGAAGCATCTTGGTGCGGCCCCTCCAGCCCCATGTGCCTGGAGCTTTGCTGCTGTCAGCCTGGAGAGGCTCACATCTGGGAAGCCCTCAGTTTTGGATAAACCGCGGCTCCTCTCCACAGGTGCACAATCTGCAGGAGCTGCGGCGAAGCGCCTCGCTGGCCACCAAGGTCTTCATCCAGAGAGACTACAGCGATGGGACCAGCTGCCAGTTCCAGACCAAATTCCCCCCCGAGCTGGACAGCCGGGTAAGCACACTGTTCTCCAGACTGGACGCCCAGCGCCATGATGGGACCGACCCACATGACGTGTGACGTCGTAGGCCACCTCCCTTGTTCAAGTGGAAGAATAGAACCAAGTGCTAACACTGTCTCGCTGTCCCTTCTTAGAAAGTTAGGGCTGAAGAAACCACAGAGATTTCCAGGCCTGCAGCTCTCAAGTTTCAGTTGCTGGAAAATTGTGCAGAGAGCTTGTTAAACAGACATGAGTTCCTGCGTCCTAGTGGATGATGTTACGTCCACTCGGGGGTGCTGACTCAGCCGCTGGACTGGGGCTCGGGACTCTCCGTTGCTCAGCAGCCATTCCCAGCCGGGCTGCCCATTGAATGATCCGGGAGCTCAGAAAATCCCGATGCCCACGCTGCACCCCAGACAGCTACTCAGAGTCTCCCCCAGTGAGGCCGATATCTGCAATGTTTTAAAGCTTAATTTAGGCCGGCGCCGCGGCTCACTAGGCTAATCCTCCGCCTAGTGGCGCCGGCACACCGGGTTCTAGTCCCAGTCGGGGTGCCGGATTCTGTCCTGGTTGCCCCTCTTCCAGGCCAGCTCTCTGCTGTGGCCAGGGAGGGCAGTGGAGGATGACCCAAGTGCTTGGGCCCTGCACCCGCATGGGAGACCAGGAGAAGTACCTGGCTCCTGGCTTTGGATCAGCGCGGTACGCCGGCCGCAGCGCGCCGGCCGCGGTGGCCATTGGAGGGTGAACCAATGGCAAAGGAAGACCTTTCTCTCTGTCTCTCTCTCTCTCACTGTCCACTCTGCCTGTCAAAAAAAAAAAAAAAGCTTAATTTAAAAATTCATTTTTTAAAGATTTATTTATTTGAGAGGCAGAGTTACAGACAGAGGGAGAGACAGAGAGAATGGTCTTCCACCCACTGCTTCACTCCCCAAGTGACCACAATGGCCAGAGCCAGGCCAATCCAAAGCCAGAAGCTAGGAGCTTCTTCCTGGTCTCCCACGTGGGTGCAGAGTCCCAAGCACTTGGGCCATCTTCCACTGCTTTCCCAGGCCATAAGCAGAGAGCTGGATTGGAACAGGAGCAGCCAGGACACGAACCAGTGCCCATACGGGATGCCGGCGCCAGAGGTGGAGGCTTAATCAATTACACCAGAACACCAGCCCTAAAAATTCATTTTAATCATAATTCCTTAAACCTTAGTTTTTAAAACAAAACTTATACTTTGTTTATTTCCAAGGGAGAGAGGGATATCTCTTCCATTGGTCTTCTCCCTAAATGACTGCTAGGCCAAAGCCGGAGCCCAATCCTGCTCTTTCATGTAGCTAGCAGGAGGTCAAGTACTTGGACCATCACCAGCTGCTTCCCAGGGGATTGAGCTGGAATTGAGAGCAGAGCCAGGACTCGAACCCGGGCACTCTGATGGGGGACATGGGTGGCATTTTAACCACTGGGCTGAACGCCCACTCCTTAAACCTCGGTTTTCAATGAGCCCTGCAAGGGTTTCAGTGTGTCCTGGGTCACACCTGCAGAGTTGCTTGTTTCCTGCACAGTTGTCACCCAGGAGCTCGGGGAAAGGGCCCTGGCAGGGCGTCAGCCTGGGCAGGGAGGTTCAGTGGCGTTCGCTGCTCTGATCTGCCCCCACTTTTTTTTTTTTTTTAAGATTTATTTATTTATTTGAAAGCCAGAGTTACACAGAGAGAGAAGGAAAGGCAGAGAGAGAGAGAGAGAGAGAGAGAGATTGGTCTTTCATCCGCTGGTTCACTCCCTAGATGGCCACAATGGCTGGAGCTGTGCTGATCCAAAGTCAGGAGCCAGGAGCTTCTTCCAGGTCTCCCACGTGGGTGCAGGGGCCCAAGGACTTGAGCCATCCTTTTTTTTTTTTTTTTTTTTTTAACAGGCAGAGTTAGATAGTGAGAGAGAGAGAGAGGGAGAGAGAGAGAGAGAGAAAGGTCTTCCTTTCCATTGGTTCACCCCCCAAATGGCTGCTATGGCCGGTGCGCTGCACTGATCCAAAGCCAGGAGCCAGGTGCTTCCTCCTGGTCTCCCATGTGGGTGCAGGGCCTAAGCACTTGGGCCATCCTCCACTGCCTTCCTGGGCCACAGCAAAGAGCTGGACTGGAAGAGGAGAACCAGGACAGAATCCAGCGGCCCAACCGGGACTAGAACCCGGGGTGCCAGCGCCGCAGGCAGAGGATTAGATGAGTGAGCCGCGGTGCCGGCCAGGCCATCTTCTACTGGTTTCTCAGGCCATAGCAGAGAGCTGGATTGGAAGTAGAGCAGCCGGGACTTGAACCGGTGCCCATATGGGATGCCGGCACTGCAGGCAGTGGCTTTACTTGCTACGCCACAGCGCCACTCCTCCAGTCCCCCACCTCCCCCCCACTTTCTAGACCATTTGAGTCAGAGTCTCTCGAGGGTGAGACTTGGACATCGTGGGCTGTAAAAGTTGCTCAGGGGATTTCAGCGTGCAGCCAGTGCTGAGAACCGCGAGGCCATGGCTACTAGCGCTGCGGTCTGTGGACTGACAACACGGCATCACCGGGGAGCTTGTTAGCAGAAGCATGACCTTGGAGTTCGTCCTGTGTCTACTGAGCCTGCTCCTGTGTTTTAACCAGGACCTGGGGTTATTCATGCCTGGGAAGCATTACAGGAGCCCTCCCCTCATCTCTCAGAGAGCGAGGGCCAGCAAGAGGCAGTGACCTACCAGAGCCGTGAGCAGTGCAGGACCTGGTGCCCTGCCTCTCGGCTTTTTCGCAGCACTCCGATCTTCTCACCCACACAGTTGCATCCTCAGTGGGTGTAGACAGAACTGGATACTTTCTGCTCTGTCTTGGCAAGGAAGGCTTGGAGATCCAGAGGAAGAGCTGGGGGCTGCCAGGGCTCTGCCCACAGCCTCCCTCTGGGCTCTGCTGCTTGGACCTCTTGCAAGGCATCAGCTGCTGAGTTTTGCCCCTGCATCTGGGGTGTGTGCGGCCCCTGTCCGAGGCTGCCTTGGAGCTGGCCTGGGGTTGCAGGGTAGGCAGAAAGCAGGCCCTGAGCCTCCACGCAGCAGCCCAGGCAGATCCGGCCTTTGCTGCTCTGACCCCAGCCAGCTCTTGGAGAGCAAAGTGGCCTCTTCCTCATCCTGTGTGCCTGTCCCCGGGGTCATGGACCAGACAGGCAGAACTTTCTGTGTTCCCTCGAGGTCTGTGCAGGGGCAGTGGCTGCAGACGGCTTCTGACTGTTCCGGGGGAGGGCCTTTATCCTGGAACGCCGGGGAAGTTTCTAGACTGTGTGACGGCAGTTCTGGTCCTGGGTGGGGGGGCGTGGGGAAAGAGAAATAGGGCTGCGTACACTTGGACACCTGCCGAGCATGGAGCGTGACCTTGCAGGCTGCTGGGGTAGGGTGGGTGAACAGTGCAGACCCTGGGGTCAGAGCCTTGTAACCTTGGACAAGTTCACTTAGCTTCCACTGAGCATTTATTGAGACCTACTGTGTATTAGGTCCTGGGAATGTGGGGCTGAACTCATGGAGGCTAATTTGTATCAGTACAGAAAATAAAAAAGCAAGCAAATGAATACATAGTAGCTCAGGTGGTCATAAATACTAGCAGAATCGGGGAAATGTCAAGAGAATAGAGGTGTGCCGGGAGAGGTGAAGGGTCAGGGGTCAGGCTACTGAGAGACTTGAGGACAGTAAGAGCAGAGCCGGGGTGGGGGTGGGGGGACAATGTCTGGAGGAGAGGTAGCAGTTGAGGGCACCCGAGCAGGAGAGCAGGGCAGGCCTTGGGGCCACAGCGGCCTGGCGGCATTGGGCGGACTTCTTAGGTTGCCTGGAGAGAAATGGAAGCGCTCCATCAGAGCAGGGACAAGATCCGACTTTAACGGGAAGTTGGGGGTGGGGTGGGGGCTGGGAGGCTAGTGAAGGGGCCAGAGGTGGTGGGGGCTGGGGCCCTGGGGCGATTGAATTGGCAAGGGATTAAATGAGAGCCATAAGCAGAGCTGGCCCATGGAAGGTGCCAGCAAGACAGCTTCCCAGTCGCCCAACACGTGGGCCGTGGGGTCCCGGTGCCGTGAGCGGGGAGAGTGCCCTCCTGGAGAGACTCCCGAGGGCACGTCTGGGCAGCCTCAGCAGCTGGGTCCCATGGGAACATGGACAGCCCCTGTGAATTCGGTCCCAAGCGCTTGTACAACCAGCAAAGTGGGCGGTGGCAGTCACCAGGGTGCTTGTCTGGTGCTCCACAGAAACCATGGAGGACATCAGGGCCGCTTCCTGCTTCCAGGGGAGGCCAAGCCCCAGCCGTGGTCTCACCTTAGAGATGAGGGTTAAGCCCTTTGCCCAAGGTCACGCAGCCAGTTGATGGCCACGTCTGGCTGGACCCCAGGTCTCCTGGCTCCCCGGCCGGTGCCTGCGGCCTCTCTGGTGCCACCTGTGTGCGCAGTGTCATCTGCCCCCTCCCGTGTGGCCCTCTCGCCGTCAGCCCTGCTCCCACCTGCCACCGCGCACCTGCAGGGGAGGCCGACCCCCGCCCAGCTCTCTCCTTCTCTGCCCCCAGATCGAGCGGCAGCTCTTTGAGGAGATGGTGAAGACTCTCAATGGCTTTTACGCGGAGGCCGAGAAGATCGGAGGCAGCTCCTACCTGGAGGGCTGCCTGGCCTGCGCCACGGCCTACTTCATCTTCCTCTGCATGGAGACTCACTACGAGAAGGTGGCCGCCCCGCCCTGCGTCCCCACCCCCCCTTCCCGCCGCCTTCCCCCTCACCCGCCCCTCTTCTGCAGGTTCTCAGGAAGATCTCGCGCTACATCCAGGAGCAGAACGAGAAGGTCTTTGCGCCACGAGGCCTCCTGCTCACGGACCCCGTGGAGCGCGGGATGAGGGTCGTATCCTTCCCAGCTGTTCTGTGCAGGACACAGAGCTGTCAACCGGCGGGCTCCTGATGAGGCTGCCAGGAAATGGGGCGCCCTCGGGGCCTCACTCAGGGTCTTCTGGGTACCCTCCACCACTGGTCTTTGCCCTTCAAACCAACAGTTACGGGACTGTTAGTGTCCTGGTTTGCACCTGTAGAGCTGCTTGCATTCGGGGCTTGGTATAGGCCAGCAATCTTTTGTTATTGTTGTTTAAAAAAAGGTTTATTTATTTATTTGAAAGGCAGAGTTACAGAAACAGAGGGAAAGACAGAGAGGGAGAGAGATCTTCCATTTGCTGGTGCACTCCTCAAATAGCCTCAACAGCCAGGGCTGGGCAGGCTAAAGCCAGGAACTTGGAACTCCATCTGGGTGTCCCACATGGGTGCAGGGGCCCAAGCACTTGAGCCATCCCCTGCTGCCTCCCAGGAGCAATAGCAGGGAGCTGGATCAGAAGTGGAGCAGCTGGGACTTGAACCGGCGCTCATATGGGATGCTGGCATCCCGGAAACCTTGAAAGGATTTTGCGAGGATGAATTCATATAATCCTCCCCACAGCCGCGTGAGCTGGGTAGCTCTTATCATTCCCCTTGCACGCGAGGGCACACTGCGCCGACTGCTGTGCGTCACACCGCTGGTGGGTGCCAGGCCAGGATCTGAGCCCGGCTCATCCTGAGCTGCCAGGCGCTCTGCCCCTCGGGGAACATGGAAACCACCCCTGGGGCATGTGCCCACAGGCTCCTGTCCTTCTCTGATGGCACCTGGGAGTTCCTGCTGCCCCCTTCCACAGATGAGAAGAACAAGGTCCTCGGGGGCCAGCTCTCCAGGCCTCAGTCCTGGAGGGGCGGGGAGGGGCTGGTCAGGGCCTGCTGGGTCCGTGGTTCTGCCCCTCCCACTGGGCCGGTGTAGCCTGGGTGTGCACGCACCCTCCTCCCCGTCAGCAGCAGCCAGAGAAGAACCGTTAAAAGGAAGTTCATCTTATTACAAAGCTGGGAGGGAGAAATAAAGCAAGCGGACAGCAGACACCACCCCGCTTCCCCACCCGGGGGCAGCGCTGCTGTTTACGGAGCCCGTGCCGTCAGTGCTCCCCAACCAAGGTCTCGTTCACGCTGCCCAACGGGAGTCTGTGATGCCCCCATTTTACAGATGAGATGAGGGAGGGCTCCCAGTCACCCAGTTTCCGAGTGGCTGAGTCGGGATTTGAATTCAGGACCCCATGTCCTCACACCTTCCCAAGCCCGGGCCCCTCCCTGCCCTCGGCTGTGGTACTCGCAGGCTCTGGAATGTGCGTCTCCGTGTGCTTGCGCACCCGGCGCGCGACGCCAGTCCGTGTACAGGTCACTGCGCGGCGCGCAGCTCCCGGCCCTGCCCAGCGCCCTCCTTGACGCAGCCTCAGATCGAGATCGCCGTGTACGAGGACCGCTGCAGCAGCGGCAGCTCCAGCAGCGGCAGCTCCAGCGGCAGCGGCAGCAGCGGCGGGGGCGGGGGCGGGGCCGGGGCCCGGTGACTGGCCGAGAGTCCCTGCAGCGAGGTGTACGGCCGGGCCGAGGGCCTTGCAGACCTGCGGCGGCTGCGCTACCAGAGCACCCGCTTCTGAGTCGTTTCTGGGCCCTGCTGCCGGGCTGGGAGGGAACGGGAGTGGCCCCAGGTCTCCTATGGCCGAGCCCATGCCCCCTGCCCCTTGCCCCTTGCCCTAGGCAGGACTGGCCCCTTCCTGAGCAGGGGCTCCCCCCCTCCCGCTGCCCCGGGTGGTGGTGCGGAAGGCTGGGGAGGGGGGGAACAGAGCGGGGCAGCCCCTGTCTTCAGCTCCGCTCCCCAGAGCCCCTGGGGAGGTCCAGGCCTGGGACCGGAGGACGCCCAGCCCGCATGATCCCCTGTCTGAGCCCTCACCCACCCAGACCCTCTCCCTGTGGTCCTGCCGCCCTGTCTCCCTGCTCTTTGTGACGCCACCACAGGGCCTCCGCCTGTCTGTGACCCTGCCTCTGTCAGTCTGAGGCTGAGGAGACGGGCACGTGTGGGGACCTGTCCAGCCCTCCATTTGTGGTTTTCCTGTTCCTGCCCAGGGCTGAGGCCATCCCAGGCTTGCCAAGTAGTGTCCCCTCCGAGACTTCGCAGGCCACCAGGCGCTGTTGTGTGGCACACAGCCAGGGTTTGGGGAGGTTTTAGGGGGTCTGGAAAAACTCTTTGTGGACAGCTGTAGCCTTGAGTGTGACCTCCTGAACTGGAGCCAACTTCCTGAGCTTGCAGCCCGTGTGTGAGGTGTGAGTGTGCACATGTGTCGTGTGTGTGGGTGCACGTGTGCATGAATGCAAATACATGTGTGAACATGCACGTGTGCACAGTGCATAAGGGAATGTGCACAGCTGAGCACACACATGTGCTTGTATGTGTGCATACACGTGAGTGGACATGGCTGCATGTGGTATGTGTGGGTGCACATGGGGGCATGAATGCGCGTGTCTGTGCATGTATGTACATGTGTGGGGAGTGCATGTGTGCATACATGGGTACCATCCACACTGTGTGTTCCTCCTGGCTGCAAGGCCACGGTCACCGCCTCCGTCCTGTGTCGTCCTTGCCACACGGTCATCTTCCCTGAGTGAGTCCAGCCCGGTCCTCTGTAAATAAATGTCCCAAACTCCCTGACCCCTTGCCAGGAGCTGCCACGGATCCTCCTGGCCTCTCCCCCACTTGCTAGCGGAAGAGAAGCTGGGGTTCCAGGAGAGCAGAGCCAACCTCCCGGTGGCCTTTGGTGCCCTCTCCTGGCCCCCGTGACAACCGGTCTGTGGACACCGAGTGCTCAGCCCGCCTGGGCCCTGGGGAAGGCCAGGCTTCCTTAGCCGTTTGAAGGAGCTGGCAGCCTACAGGGACCAGGGGACCCTCCTTGCCAGAGAGCCAGTAGGTCTACCCCAGTGGTGCTCTGGCCCCTGAGGTCCAGGGAAGCCAGTGGGAAGGGGCGGCCATCTGCCCGGTGCCCCGAAGGTGGACAGAAAGGGGCTGTGCACGCCAGCCAGCAGGAGGCCCTGGAAGTGGACGTGAAACACCCGCCACTGCAAGTAGCTTTGGGAAACTGGAGAGAGGCCTGGGCTGCTTTTGCTGGACATGGGAGCTGGTCGTGGGAAGAGGTGCCAACCCAGAGGGCTGGAGAGGGGCCCCTGGGGCCCTAATAAATCCAGGTCCATGGATCCCCCCAAGAGCGGCAGCCCTCTCCCTGACTGGGCTGTGGCCGCGCCCACCTTGGCCCACGGTGCGCCTGGGCACCTCGTCCAACCTGTGCCCATTTGTTATTTCTTTTTCCAATAAAAGGGTTTGCCCAGCCGGAGGCTCTGTGTTGCTTCCCCTGCCCCCTGGTGGTGGGGCCAGGTCTGTGCTCCGGGATGGCCGGCAGGAAGGGTGAGCCCGAGGAGTGCTAGCCCTACCACAGGGCGCGATGGACCCTGCTGCTTGGAACTTGAGTCTGACGGGGAGGTGGTCCCTCCAGGGCCTCTCAGCTGGATTCCTTGGGGACATCTGTGGCTTGGGTGGAGAGGCCAGGTCCCCCTGAAATCCAGGCCCCAGGAAGCTGGCTAATGGCTTAGATCAAGCCTGTTGCTTGAACTCTGACCCTGGGTTGGGCACAAGGTCACTCAGTACTAAAACTAGGGAGCGGGTGGTGTTGGAACCTAGCAGAGCTGCGTTTTGGGTATTATTAAACCAGACATCTATGAGCACCTACTGTGTGCCACGTGCTTTGCTCACACCACATGCTGGAGCTGGGGTTGGGGGTGGAGGGGAAGACCACCCACATGCATGCTCTCACCTGACAGAGCTGGGAGGAGGCCCAGAGAGGCGGAGCGATGTGCCCAGGTCTCTCAGCTGGCTGGCAGTGCCAAGTTTAGCACCCGGGGTTCCCAATGCAGTACTCACTCTGACATCCAAACGGCACCCACTGAGCAAGCTGCCGGGGCACACGCTCAGGTCTGTGGGCCAAGGGTCTGCTCCCTGGGAGGATCTTACCAGACCCGGACCATGGCTGTGGCCTCTGGGGTAGGAGGCGGGGGGGTTCTCCGGCTGAATGGGACCCTGGTGGTTGTCAGGCTTCTGCTCCTTGTCTCTCGGGGGCAGCTGGGTGCGCGCTCTCTGCTCAGAGCTGAGCTGTGCATGTGCGTGGCCTTAAAGTCTGCTCCCTAACACCAAGCGGCTTCACCTTGCTGCCTTGTTTGGGACAGGAGGTGGTTCCGTCCTGAGGCCAGACTGGAACCCCCGGCCCAGCCCTCCTGGAGAGGAGTCCGAGGAGGTGGAAGATTTACTAAACTGCTAAAACCAGCTGCGAGCGCCAGTCTGGCTTAGGGCATTCACGCTGTCGGACGTCAGTGGTAGCCACCTCCACCAGCAATCCCAGCCGACATGCAGTGTGTGCTGCTCCGTGCTAGGCACTAGGCCAGGGCCACGCCACTCCTTACCCAGCCCTCAGCCACCCTGCACCGTGGCGGGGATTCCCGTTCACAGATGCAGACGTGGAGGCTGGAGTGGCAGCACCAGGGGCCTCAGGCATGGCTGACTCCGCCCCTGGAGGAGGAAGCACTCAGCATTCTCAGGTTAGGATTCGGAGGCTCCCAGCCCCGGACTTGGAGCCGGGCCTGGGTTTGAGGCAGGGCTGAGGCCACCACGCCCTGGGCCTCAGATGAGAGTGGGTGTGCGACCCAGTGGGGCAGTCCAGTGGAGGGCAGTGGGGGCCCCAACTCCAGGAGCATAGCGATGCCTGGCTTCTCTCTGGGCTCAGCGACCAGGGATGTGGCCTGGGTCCTTGGCAGACACATCCCTGCGTCCGTGCGACCAGCCAGGGACGGGCCCCGTGAGGATCCTAGGAGCAGAGGAACCCTGCTGCTGCCTGCGCCAGGCTGTCCTCCAAGTCCTGGCCCCAGGTTTTCCCTCACTGTGGCCAGAGCTCCGTAGGCCACCTGCTTGCCTGCCTTGGCCCAAGGCCGCCCAAACCACAGGGTTTGCAGGATCTCGAGGCGCCGCTCAGTGGCGGAATCACACACTGCAGTCGGGAATCACAAGCAGTAGGGGCCACTGCGGACCTCGCTCCAGGACCCCAGTTCAAGCGCTGCAAGGAGCTTCCTGTGAATTCCGAGGGGCGGGGAGGCAGCTTCCGGGCTGGAGGAGAGGCCAGGCAGGAGCAGCTCCACTTGGCTTGTCTTCACTCAGCTGAGGCAGGGCCCCTGTCCCCGCGCTCGGGGCTGGCTTCCTGACATCTGCACGTGGCCACCGGGGCTTCCCAGGACTGCAAGCAAGGCCTGGGAGGGGCTGCTCTAAGTGTGGGGGCACAGCCTGGGCACGAGGCATTCAAAAAGTTCTCCTGGTGATTCCAAAGTGAAGCCAGGGTCGTGAGTCCCTGGTGGCAGCAGCATCTAAGCCCCCTGGCCGTGCACAGACCTCTGGGCACGTCTGGGACCGGAACAGGAAGTTCCCTGGTTCCACGGAGGCAGCCAGGCCAGAGATGAGTGTGAACCGGAGGATTCCATTCAGAGCGGATTCCAAGCCAGGCAAAATGCATGTACGGTGGGAGAAGTCAGGCCTGTGGGTACACTGGGTGGGGGGAGGGACGGGGGGCCGCCAGGGGCTTCTGTACTGGAGATCCATGTCAATGAAATGTACCCAAAACATGTATTGGCTTCATCGTAGGAAAAGAAAGTGCAAAATGACAAGGAGTGTTTTATTAAAGATCTGCAGATTTCACATTGTGAGAAGCCGGGCAGTTGCAACTCAGCGCCTATGTGTGTGATGCTGACCCTGGGGCGGATGTGCGAATGTTTCCTTTGACCAGAGTGTGGCCTCTGCACTGGCCGTAGGCACCTGTATCGCGCGGAGAACCCACGCCTTGCAGCAGCTGCCCGGCCCTGTCACTGCAGCGCCCGCTTCCTGCATTGGCGCTGGGGCCAGCGGCTTTGAATCCGGGGTGATGGGGAGCCCTGAGACGGGCCCCAGCAATCCACTTCACCCTCCCGAGCCCCGGCGTCGCCGTGGGTAAGACGACAGCGCTGAGTGCGTCCTCGGTGTGAGACGCTCCTGTGGCTGCGGCAGTGGCCCCGGGACCTCCTCAGGCGACGGCCTTGAGCCACAGTGCAGAGCGGGTTTCCACACGCCCAGGGCTTCCCTCACCTCTCAGGACGCACCGGGAGCCTTCGCGGCCATCATTACCGCGCTCACCTCGCAGACACGGCGCTGGGAGGCTGGGTTTGAACTCCAACCTTATAGACGAGGAACTGGATGCTCCAGGTGGCAAGGTAGCCTGGCTGGGGCCTGCAGCCGCTGAGTGCCAGAGCCAAGCCTGGACCCTGCCGATCCGGCTCCAAAGCCCGCTCTCAGCCCGCCACCATCTGTCACGGTCAGACGCGAGACTCCGTTCTACCTGGATTGACTCATAAAGACAGATCCCAGACCCAGGGAGGAGCACGTGGGCCGACGCAGACACAGAAAAATTAGCTTTGCAGGCGCGTGAAGGTGCTAGTTATTTTGGAGTAATTCAAGTCATCGATTTCTGTAATGGAAAAGTGATTGGGGACCGGCTCCCACCTGCGAGCCGTGCGGAGCGAGGCCAGGACTGGGGAAATGTCAGACCCACTTACGAGCCTGCGTATGGGCGCCTGCTCCTTTCCTGCTGCCCCCAATTAATCAGCAGAGACGGGGGGGGGGGCTTGTCTCTCCTCACCCTCCTGGCCCTGCCCCAAGCCGCGTTGCTGAACAGAGACGAAGCCTGTCTCAGGCTGGAGGGGAGGGGAGGGTCTTGGGGCAAAATGTCACTGTCAGGCCGATGCCAGCGGGCGCTGGGTGCCGAGCGACTCAGGGGAAGGGTGGGGGTGTCGACCTGGGCCGTCCACACTGGGCAGCAGTTCTCGTCCTGCTGCCTCGCTGTGTCCTGCGGCTCTGCTCGTGGCCTTCGCCCGTCCTGGGAGAGAAGGGGAAGCAGCGGGCATCCTGACCCACTCAGCCTCGGCCGGCCCAGTGCTCCCTGAGCGCTGTGAGGGTGACGTGGGCGGGGCAGCCTGCCTGCAGGTCCGGGGCGGAGGGCCCAGAGGGCGACTGCCGCGGTGGGGCGGCTGGCTGGAGGCAGAGCAGACAGGCGCGGGGGGAATGGCTGATGCGTCCGAGACGGGTGAGAGCTGCCTGTCTGGGACGGTTGCTGGCAGGCCCTGGAGAGGCAGGGGACTGGATGGGCACGACACAGGGCTGGAGCGCCCCGTGGGGAGATGCTGAGGTCACCCTGTCCCCAGATGAACTCGGCATCGCAGCCCTGAGTGATGGATGTGTCTTCCTGGGAAGGAGTCGTCCGGGTCCAGCACTGCCCGGGTGATGCCTTGTGGATCCTTGTCAAATGGGGCCCTGCAGCAGCAGGGGGACCAGGAGGCTGCCGGGCCCCACACGGATTTTCTAAGAATGTCTGCACTGTGCTGAGCGCCGGACCTACCTCAAGCCACTCTATGAGGCTGTCATTGCCCCCATTTCGCAGATGAAGAAACTGAGGTTCAGAGATGAATGAGGTGCTGGGAGTCTCTGGGGCTCAGGCCTGAGCTGTCTGACCCCAGAGCCTCAGGGTAGACAGAGACTCTTCGGGACAGAAGCAAGGAAGAGAGGAGGGCCACAGGGCCTTTGCACTGGCTCTCTAAGAACAAACATGAAGTCTTGGTACATACGAGACAGCTTTTGTATTGGGCTAGGCAGAGACGTCCCAGTGCCTGAGTATCTTCTCCCGTCTCCTGCATCTGCCCTCCAGGGCTGTAAGGCTCGTGTCTGCGGCCTGAAGCTGAGCAGGGTGCTTGGCTAACCTCCCTCTCTTCAGCCTACACTGCCCCTTTCCACGGTCCCCGCGGGCGGTGGGGGAGCTTGGTGTCTCCCCTTCCCAGGAGCCCTGCACCTGGCTGGGGTGGGGGGGCAGCCTTGAGGCCTGGGGGAGGAGTGGTGCCCGTGCAGTGACTCTCAGGCCTCCAGCCTCTGTCCCTTCCTCACAGCCTCAAGCCCGGCTGTGTCCCAAGGCCAGGCACCGCATCTCTGTGCCCTGACTCGGTTTCCATGTCAGCAAAACTGGAAGAATATGCATTGGCCACATTTTCCTGGAATCGTGTGTGCACCGGGGTTCTGAAATACTTGGAGCCTCCTGGGGGAGGCTGGTCACAGCTGGGGGCTGAGCAGAGCGGGCATCGAGGAGGCCCGCACCGCGACCCAGAGCCCTGGCTCTCCCGTGGTCCCCGAGAAAGCCACAGTGTCTTTTTGGGCCTTGGTTTCCTCACCTGGAAAGGATGGGACCAGGGTGAGGCCTTCCTGGGTGCCCCCGATGCCAAGGCCCGGGCCTGTGTGAGGCAGGTGCAGCTCCTCTCCTCTGCCCTGGGCCGCCGCCACCACGCCCATTGCCCGCTTTACCGCTTTACTTTTTGCTCCTCTCCGGGGGAACGGCCTGTGTGACAGCCATGCCGCGCACGGCACAGCCGGGCCCGTGGAGGTTGGCTCTGCCCCTTCACCGCCATTTCCGGTCCTGCCGTCTCTTTCCTGCCAACCTGTCAGCTCCCCGAGGGTGGCCGTGTCCTCTGTGTCTCTCCCACTGTATCTCTCTCTCACAGGTGTCCGGGGTGGCAGCAGGGTATCCTGGGAGGCCAGGAGGTCTGGCATCTAGTATCCGGGGCTCCATCCTGGACTTCGCTGTTTCATCATCGTCGTCATCATCGTCATCGTCGTATCTGTAATTCCTTAGGACTTTGTGCCAGGTGCATGTCAAGTTGAACACCACAAGTCCACGAGGCTTCACCCCCACTTCACAGGGCAGATAACTGAGGCCCACCTACTCGAAGTCTTTGTCCAAGTGCTTCTTTGTCCACAAGGCTGGCTGTTTCCCTCCCTATTCAGAACAGCACCCACCTCCGTCTGGGTGCCCCCACATTGCCACAGTGTTGCCCCCCGCCCCCGTGGCCCTCGGCAGCTTCTGACACGCAGTACACCTGTCTCCTTAAGGTTATTGTGCAAGGCCTATTGGGCGAAGCCCGGGCAGGCATCTGGGCCAGGACTGCAACAGAGGACTACACCACGCCACCAGCACTGTGCCCAGCAGGGGTCCCGCCACGGTATGTTGAAGGAACAGCTGGTTACATGACTCCCTCAGCGGTCAGTGACCTGGGCATCGCCCAGAGCCCAGGCTGCAGCCTGAATCACAGAGGCTGCTACCTTAGTGGACTGGCTGACCTCGGGTCATTTATTCCCTCTGAGCCTCGGTTTGCTGGGTAATCAGACGAACAACCTTGACCTTGGGGGGTGGGGCGAGACCGAGTGGGGACAGGGAAGTGAGACCCCTGGCAGGTGGCAGGCATTCCTCGCCCCGGGACGCGGCTCCTCCCTCGCTTCTGCTTCTGCTCTGATAGCTCACCCCTGACCACGGCACCGCTGGGCAGCAGCCCCCGCAGAGGCCTAGCCGTGGAGGGAGAGGCCGTATCACCTGCCCACGCTTTCCTGTCCTCCGCCTTCCTCTTTCCCGGAGGTGCCTTGTTGCTAAGGAGACGCCACATCAGCTCCTGGCAGAGTCCTGGCCCCTGCGGCTGGGGTCCTGGCTGGGGGTGTTGGGCTGGAATCTTCTGGAAGAACTCAGCTGGCTCCTGGGAAAACGAAACATTCATCGTCCTGTCCCCACTTGGAGGCTGTGGAGTTCATGTGGGCCGCAGTCCGGCGACACTTGTCTGGGGGTGATGCCCAGGCCCTGGGAGGGGCCATAGCAGCCAGAGCAACACAAAATCAGACCCTGGCCCTCGGAATGGCACCTTCCCAGGGCAGGGCGGCCTGGCTCTGTCGGGGAGACCCTCCGCACGCACGCCCTTCTCTTCTTGTGGGTTGAATGCGCCTGCGGGGAGGGCTGTCTGGGGTCCCTGGTTTCCGCTTGCCACCCCGGCCCTTGACTTCCTCAGACGTCAGCGCCAACCCTCGTGCAGGATGGGGCGTGGTGGCCGAGGGCAGGAGCCAGGATCCAGGGGGCTGGGACCCTGTCCTGCCTTCGTCAGTCCCGCTGGCTTGGCTGGCAGACTGGGATCCCTTGGACTCTTGGAATACTGAACACGTAGATTCTTGTAGAGGGTTTAGACCCCACCAGATGCACCCAGCTCTTGGTGCCATTTGCAGAAGCAGATGCCTGGGAAGAGGGAGGATTCCTGGACAGCACAGAAGCGTTGACGCTTCGGGGGTGAGCTGCGGCTGCCTCTTTCCCTTGGGGCGCCAGCCCCGCCACCGCACGGTCCCTTGTGGCCCAGTTCATGACCCGCCTGCCCTGAAGGTATCTGTTGCTTTTCTTACAATTTCAAATCTAGCAAAAGCACAGCAAGATGTCAGGAGCCGAGGCAGGACTAGAAGACAGGAAAAACCAATCCGACTGTGGTCAGGATGGCAAGGCGAGCGTCTGGCCCACCCCCAACCGCGGCCCCCGGGGGTCTCAGGGGGCAGGGATACCGAGCTTGGTTGGCTTGGGTGTGGTTTCGTGCCGGGGTGGCCCAGACAAGGATGAGCAATGGACTTGAAGCACCTGCTCAGACTGCCTGGACCCCTGAGGTGGGCCCTGCTCTTGGGGGCGAGCAGTGTGGAGCTGGGTCAGCGCCCACTTGTCCACTGTAACATTTAGCCTGCTATTTCTTCCAACACAGCATGTAAGGGGCAGAGAACTTGACCTCCTAATTGGCGGAGCTTGTCACACAGTTCTTAGTAAGTGCTTACAGAACGAATATATGAGCGAGTGCAGAGAGCCACTTGGCAAGACTTTACAGAAAGCCCTTCGGCGTCCCAGGCCCCGCCATGCACTTGGCTTCGCGTCTGGCTGAAGGGAAGGCGGTGTGGGGGCAGCTACCATGCTTCTTCCCCTGACCCACAAGTAGGCTCAAAGGACACAGGTGTTACATGCAACCTTAGCCTGTGATACACAGGTTGTCGCCTGTGAGGCACCTGTGCTGTCTGCTGCCCTGGGCAGGCTGTCTCCGCCTTGTCCCGCCCCTGATTCTGGTGCAGTCAGCTTGTCTCTTACACCGCACTTGGAAACGCTGCCCGGGGCACTGCTTTTCTCACTTGTTCATTTCCGCAGCTTCCAGAGTGACTTTGGGGGGGGGGGGGGAGGCTGCCGCCCCACAGACAAGAGGCCGCGGTGGGAAAGGGGTCCCACCCTGGCGAGGGCCAGCTGTGACCTTGGGCCAAGCGACCTTGATCACGTGGTCTCCCCCAGCCTGCTCTCTGGGGCCCCTCCCGGATCCTCAGTTCCATCTCAAGCGCACAGGCGTGCGCTTAGGAGAAGTGGAGCGGTTTTTAAGTTGGTAGATTCTTTCCAGAGAAATTGTAGCGCTTTTCATTTCAAAACTTTTCATTTACACTGCTGTTCCCAGCGTAAAACCAGCACTAGCGACAAGGAAATCATCGTCTGTGATTTATTGGGAGCATGATTACGGTATCAGGAAGCGGTAGTTTTTGTGTTAAACATGTTTTTAAAAGGCTTGCTGCATTCTTAAGTGTGATTTTATTATATCTTGGAGCGACTTTTCCTCCCCACGAAGAACAGATCTGTGATTTATCGTAGCTCCGTGACCGAGGCTGCCCGGGAAGGCATTTTACGCCATTGCATCATTTCCAAAGGCTGCGCTGGCCACAGGTGCTTCCAGCGTTCTAGGCACACTGCACAGCCCAAGTTGCAAAGTTCTTCCTAGACACCCAGGCACCAGACACTAGAGAGACCGTGTGCAGCCACACACCGAGGAGCCCTAGGAAGGAAAGGGCCCTTAGGGAGACGCTAGCTCAACTCTCTTGACACTTAGATTAGGGAAACTGAGGCCCACAGGGAAGTGACTTCCCCCAGGTGAAGGCCCGAGGCTGTGCCTGGCTCATCCCACATCCCGGGCCTGTCCAGGCCGGGAGCACTTTCTGTAGCAGGACTCAGTGGACGGGCTGCTGCTCCTTTGGCATCCGAAGCGGCGTCCACTTGCCTGGACGCATTTTCTGGTTTCCACCAGCTAAGTGCTAAGATCCGGTAGACGGCTTCTTGGCGTAGTTTCTCCAGAAAAGAAGCTGGAAGACTCTGCAAGTTCAAACTTCCGCATTTTTCTCCTTTTTATCAAAATCCCAAAGGGCTCACCCTTTCCCTCTCACCAAGCCCGACCCAGAGAGGCTTCCTCTACCGCAGGAAGTCAGGGTGCACAAGGCAGAAACAGCACAAGCCAGCAGGCACAGGGGACGGGATCCAGGCAACCACCTGGGGGCCATCTTTGTTAGGGGCAACACGAGACGCTCACCAACACAGAGGACACAAAGACAGGGCTACTGTGGTTCTTCAGGAGGGGTGGGGGTGGGGCATCCGAGGGGGAGGGGGCTTTCCCCGTCTGTTTTCTCAGAAAACATGCAAAGGAGAGCTTCACCAAGAGGCCAATTGCCTCGGATCTCCCAGACTTCCCTTTTCAAAGATGGCCGCCCCTGCTGTCCATCACAGGGAGCCTGCTGCGGAATCTACTGGGCGTGGAGAGAGAGACAGGCAGCTGGAGAGACTGAGTTTTCCACAAAGGCCGTTAGCTTTTTTGTTTTGTTTTGTTTTCCTTTATTGATGGGATTTAAAGTGCATAGAACTGAAGGCAAAGTCCAAGGCCTAGAGAAAGATAGGAGGCCCGAGAGAGCGGCTCAGAGATGCTAAAGGCTGCCGAGGGATACCCACCTAAAAAGGCCACTTGTGCTGCAAAAGGGACGGGGTGGGGCGGTTGGGGCGGGAGGGGAGGGGGTGGTGGGGTGGGGTGGAGGGAGGCGTTTGGGAGGGAGAAGACAAACACCAGTTCAGAAATTCAGCCAACGGTGACTCGCAGGAGCTAGTTTTACATCCCACCTACAAAAACACGGGCGGTTTCAAGGTGGGCGCACTGGTTTTAGGACAGGAAGAAGAGTGACAGCCTCAGGCCAGCACACGGCACCCCCCCCAAGCTTCGGGTGCTGGCGCTTCTCCAGGCCTCTGCCTTAGGCCTCTTGGGGGTCTAGGCGGCCCCTCTGTATCCGGGAGGAGGCAGGGGCCAGAGATCTTGGTCGTCCCCCCACCCTCCAGAGCCCCCCAGTGGGAGGAGCCGGACTCACCCACACAGGCCGTGCCATCCTCGTTGGGCTCATAGCCTCGGCTGCACTTCTTGTTGGTCCGGCACCTGTAGCTCCCGTAGGTGTTGACGCACACGGGCTTGTCTCGAGGGCACACGAAGGGAAACTGGATGCATTCATTGGTATCTGAAGGGCGGAGGGGCAGCTCTCCAGGCTGGTGCGGGGCGAGGCGGGGTGTCCCAGCTCTGCCTTCCTACCCACCCCTTCTCCTCGCTGGGCCCCTGCTCCCTGAGGTCGGACCCCTGGGCTGGCTTCTCCTGTCCTTGACCTCGGCCTGTGGGGGCGCTCGGGCTGGGCTCTGTCTTCTATCACCACTTCTCTAGATGGTCTCTTCATCCCCAGATAACTTCCAGCTCCTGTCTCCAGCCACAGCCCCTCACTGGGGCTCAGTGCGTGAATCCAATGGCCAGTAGCCCTTCTGACGGTTGCACCTGCTTGTCTGCTCTGCCCTCAAACTCAGTATGTCCCAAACGGAACGCAGCAGGTCCCTCTTGTACCCCCTGCCCCCATCTTCCCCAGCTCGGTCAATGCCACCATCACCCACGCGGCAGCTCGGGCAGAAATCGGAGCGTCTGCACTTCTGCCTCACCCCCCTCCCCAGCCTCGTGTGCATCTCGGCCCCGCAGCAGGCCTCTCATCACACCACCTCTCTCACTCCCCGCCACCACCCTGCCGCTGGCCGCCTGCACCTCTCGCCTGGGTTTCGGCAGTTGCCTCCTTACTGACCCGGCGTCCTCTCTTCCCTCCAATCCCATCAGCGATTCAGCAGCCAGAACCACACTATGTCACTGTGCTGCTGAACTTCACAAAACCTGAGCCCCGCCTCCTGCCGGTTCAGTGTCCTGCCAGCGCCTGCCCTGCCCTGCACTCTCCCCTGCCAGGGGGCGCTCTCTGGGCCTGCGTCAAGGTCCTCCTCCCGCAGGCCCTGCCTGCCTACTGAGTGCAGAAGTCCCTAGGAAGCACCTGGCTCGCAGGGTTCCGGGCCATCACTGGCCATGTGGTCACAGGTCGGGGTCTGTCTGCCTCCACCAGAAAGCTCCCCGCGGAGGGGCAGTGCCCAGCCTGGTGCCCAGTGCCATGGCAGAGGCATAGAAACAGCTGAGGATGATGGCAAGGGGGAGGGGGCTGGACTGGGGATCTCGCAGGTTATTCCAGGGTGCAGGGCGGCCAGGGTGGGCACGTGGCGCGCAGAGGGAGGCCTGTCCTCCTGGGCCGTCCTCAGCACTGCGACCCTACTCTTGCTCATCTGCGCTCCCCGCTCCATCGGATGCTGTCTGCACTGCCTGTGCCTGGCCAGCTCCTCCTCGCTCCTCAGGTGCCAGCTTGGACCTCTCTCCCTCTGGGGTCCCTCCTAGGACCCTCCCTGGCCAGGTTTAGGCGCGTCCCTTTGTGCTCGCAAGCCCTCCGCAAGCCCTCTGCATGCCACGTGGTCCTGGGCTGTTCACTCGTGAGCCTCCCACCCGCTCTGAGCTCCGCTGGGCCATGCTGGTCTCTCTCTGTCTCTTCTTGTACCTCCATAGCGAAGGCTGCAGGGGAGGTTTTGGAAGACGCTGCCTGAGGGGCTGCAGAAGGAAGAACCCCCTGGGGCGGAAGTCGTTGGGCGGAAGGGTTTCTGCACGCAGAGCCTCTGGGCTGCTCCCGGGCTGCTGCTTTCCTGTTCCAGGTCCGGGAGGGACCCCACAGAGCGGCCATGCTGGGGGTGCTGCAGTTCCTGCCCCCTCCGGTTGTCTTAGCATCTGGAGCCACAGGGACAAGCCCCTCCCACTCCAGCATCTCTTGTCAGGCTGACATTCCCCAGGGAGAGTCCAGCCTCCATGCCACCCCTCCACCCCCACGCCTGCGGGCAACTCACCCATGCAATGGCCATTTTCCCGCTGAGAGAATCCTTGGCCGCACTGCAAGGTGGGAGGAAGCAGAGACACCGTGAGTCGAGACGGCCCCTTCTCAGCTCCCCTCCTAGCCACAGCCGCTCAGCAGCTGCCCCGACCCCAGCACGAGGGGTGCACTTGGCTCCGGGCCTGGGGGGTCCTATGCTGGACCCCTTCCCTTGCACAGAGGCTGGGAGACTGGGTGGTGGCCACCAACGGACCCAGTTCAAACTGCTGTTCATTTCCCTGCACGTGGGCTCCTCCTGCCTGGGCTGGGCCACTCTACAGAGCAGCGTGATCCTGAGGAGGAGGCAGGCCCGGTCAATGCCAAGTGCAAAGACGGGAGGGAGATGCTCTGAGATATGTGCTCTCTGCCCCACCTCCTCTGTGGCCTTTGACCCTCATGGGGCAAGCACCTGCTGCAAGGCACACCGGGTTCCCCCTCTCTGGTGGGCTGGTGGGACGAGGTGGGGACATTCCAGGAGGAGGGGTGACTCATCGGGCTCTGCGGCTAGGACGTGAGCTGCCTGGTGCAGAGGCAGAGCGCTGGGAGCCGCTCAGGCCAGGCTATGGAGGCTCAGCTGTGCCTGGGTAGGTGGGTGGCGGAGTCCCTGAGCCGGCAGCCTGGAAACACTGCCAGCTGGGGGCCGGCGGGGGCGAGTGGGGAAGGGCCAGTGCTCCCACCACAGGGGGCCTGGAGCTCGGGGCACCACCGAGGCCAGCAGGCTGCCGGGGTTCCCACTCATCCGGAGCTCTCCCTGAGGTGCGCTGAGCTGGCCTAGACGCTCCAGAGATGTCCTGTTCACCTGTGTGCGTCTGAGTGGTTCCTCTACCCGACCTGGAACCAACTGATCCCCGTCAGAGTTAGAGGGTGCCCAGAGTTTGGTCCAGAGCTGCTCTCAAAGAGCTCCCAGAGGCCTCACGGCAGGATCTGAGCCCCACCCTTAGGGCAAGAGGAGGCCTCGACACAGGGAACCAGGATTGCAGTAGGTACCCTGGGGTCAGCTTGTCCCTTTGCTAGTATCAGCTGTGCCGCCTCCAGGGAGCCCTGGTGCGTTCCTTCTCTTGGCCTTGGTTTTTCTCCTCTGTAAATCGGGTGCAGAAGCACTTGCCCTCTGATATGCCAGGATTTGGAGATGTGAGTGTGACAGTGTTGTCACAAGGAGGGACCGCCACGGAGCCTGCCCTTGGCTCAGAGGCTGTCCCTCACCCTGGGAACCCAGCTTCAGCCACGGGGCTGGGGTGCTGCCTGCTCTCCTGGGTCAGGCCGGGTGCCGCTGCCCACCTCCAGGGGGGCTGGGTCCTGAGGCCTGTCCTCTTCTCGGGGATACAGGATCTCCAGCACTGAGTTCATCTCCTCGCTGGCCACGCTGCGGCTGGCCATCTTGCCATCTGGCCACGTCACCTCCACGCTGCTCGCCTCGTCCTTCCCTGCGGGTCGGAAAGAGAGGGTGAGCGACAGAGAGCAGGGGACTCCAGCCCAAGAATTCGTGATGTCCACCCACTGCACAAAGGCACCACGGAACACTGCTCTACGTGCTGGGGAAACGCTGAGTGAAGAGCAACACACCCCAACAGAACTTTCTAGAAAGGCTCTCGATCTTTTCTGTCCAATATCTTGTGCACTTGGAGTGGCACTAGTGTGACTGAGGAAGTGAACTTTAAGTTTTAGTCAGTTCCCACTTAAATGGCCATACACAGCTATGAGCTCCCCATATTGGACAGGGCAGCAGCCGGGCCAGGCGGCATGAGACTGTTCTGGGGAGGCAGGAAGGCTTCTGGGCAAGTAGGTAGACTTTGGAGTCCAGGGTTCAAATCTTGGCTCTGCCGCTTCCCTGTTGTGCTGGGCAGAACGTGGTGAGGAGTAGGCCATGGGGCCGGTGCAGCTGGCCGGCCGCGTAACCCTGGGCACGCCTCTTACTCGAGGGCACGTATGCAAGTCCCTGGGAGATGGAATTAAAGAGAAGTCTGTTTGGGTGCATGTTTCATTGACAGACGTGGGCTGGGCAGGGGTCGGCACTCTGGTCACTGGGGTGTCCCTGTTCCCGTCCAGAGCAGAGAGACTGGCACATACCGACAAGCAAGTCCTGTCGGACACAGACAGGCTCTGGGAAGAAATCGACATTAGAGCAATGAGGTGAAGGGGACCTGGGGGCTGGCTGGGGCCAGGGCGGCCAAGGGAAGGGCTCCCAGTAAAGACCCGGAGAAGCCGGGGCCTTAAAGAACTGGGAGGCGGATGCCAGGAGAAAGGCTCCCCCCCTGCAGAGCTGGGCAGCTGCAGAAAAGCCAGAGAAAGCTCGCCATGATCCCTCCGCACGCGCCCCACGGCGCGCGCCCCACCACCAGCAGAGATGGGCTGGAGAGATTTGTCAGGTGGTCTGATGCTGTGAGAGGCCTGCCCGGCTCTGCTCCCGGTGTAAGGAAACGGGCTGGTCCCAGTGGCAAGGTCAGGCTAATGGTGATGGACAGGGGTGGGAGGAGGAGGGGCCGACCCCGCTGGCAGGGAGGGGCTGCTCTCAGCACTGACAGCGGGGAGAGCAGGGGGAGCGCAGTCTCCTCCTTGTCACCCTCCAGGGTGTGGATTGGGAGGGGGCGCACAGGGTCCTGCAGGGGCCTGCAAATCTACATACTTCCCTAATCGTGCCTAGGTTGAGTAAATCAGACACCACCCACCTGTACGCACTGGGTTTTCTAATGTATGTAGAGACTGTTAGAAATCAAATGACGCTCCAAAGTGCTTTTGAATTTATATTAGCTTTTGGTCATTCTCATCCACCAATGGATTTATTTTCATTTTACATGAAGGACAGAAAGACAGAGAGAGAGAGAGAGAGAGAATGTCGTTGGCTGGTTCAGTCCCCAAATGCCTGCAATGGCTAGGGCTAGGCTGGGGCTGGAGTCAGGAGCTGGGAATTCAAACCAGGTCTCCCCTGTGGGTGGCGGAACCCAGTCCATTGAGCTGTCACCTGTTGCCTCCCAGGGTTCGCCTAGGCAGGGAGCTGGAGGCAGGAGCCCGAGCTGGGCGTGAGATGCAGGTGTTTTGATCCTGCTGCTGTGAAACGGCTTGATGCACAAAAGGGGTTCCCACAGTCCAGGAGAGGGCTGGGGGCCACACGCAGCCTTTGAGAACCGAGGTGTAGCCTCCTCTGTGCAGAGGCCATCTTGCCGAGGCAGCTGGGGTGCAGGGAGGGCCCGGCTGCTTCTCCTGCTGCCCCCCCAGGGGGGTCCCACACTGCCAGTGGGGGCTCTGGGGGGGGGCTACACTGTGTGAGCCAGGCCATCCAACCTCTCGGCCCTCCTCATGCTTGGCTGCCTTGTGCTCTCCCAGCCTGACCTGGGAAGTCTCACTAGAACGTTCCATCCTTGCTGCTGCAGTGCAGGGAGTGAGTGAGAGCAAGGACCGGCTTTGGGGTCAGCATGGGGTCGGCCCTGCCCCTGGGCCACAGCAGGGCTGCAGCTCCCGCACAGGCTGCAGCAACCCTCAGAGCTCAGGCTGGCCAAGTGCAGGTTTTTCTGCTTTAAGTAGAATCTGGAGGTGTTGGGAAGGGTTTTGTTCCTCAGGGGCAGAGAGCCCAGGAAGCGGCAAGCACACAAACAAACTAGACGCTTTCCATTGAAGAAAGGAGACAAAGAGAAGCCAGCACTTAGAAGCAAACAGATCTCTATGCAGTGCGTTTCCCAGCCTGACTCAAGAGCTCCAAATAGCTCAGAGCTCGCAGTCACAGACAGCACCCTATGCCGTCCTGTCCTGGTGGGAGCTCCTGCTCCTGCCCTGCCCAGACCTCGGAAGTGCCCTGGGCAGCACAGCAGGAGGCCTCCCTGCCCGGCTGCTGGCTGTTCTGCTGATCTGAGCACCCCCTGTGGGCCTCAGTTTCTTCCTCTGTAAGATGGGCAGCTGGCCTGGAGCCCGACACACTCAGCAAGCACAGCCCATCTCCTAGGGAACAGGGACTTCTCATCCCGGCACCTGCCGCCATCAGCGCTCAGACTTGGGCCTGGCGAGCTGACTGTCCCACAGTTACCCACCCATTCTACTCCCTGCACCCCCTTCCCTGCCCATGCCCCCCCTACGCCCCCCACCCAATCACATGTGCCTGGTGTTTCAGCAGTGAATGCAACAGATCCAGGCCCCACCCTGGGCTGACTCCCATGGGAGCAGTGAACCCAAATGATTCCATCGTCATGACTGGGGGTGGGCCGCAATGGCCTTAGCAGCACACAGTGAAGGGAGGGGGCCATGTATTTGGGTTTTGCAGGAGGAATAAGTGTTTGTGAGGCAGTGAATGGCAGAGGCGCGGAGCTGTGCAAAGGTATGGTGCGTTTGAAGGTCAGGAGGAAGTTCAAGTGGAGAAGCAGAGTGTGAGGCGCGGGGCGGGGGTGGGAGGGGAGACGGGGGGGGGGGACTTGGAGGCTTGGTACCCATTCTCTGGATATAGACACTGAGCCTTGGGGAGGTGAAGTAACTGGCAAATATCTGAGCCAGGCCTGGGCCTCAGTCTCCCATGGCTCCCAGCCACCACAGGGGAGTAGCCTGGAAGGGGCCAGGCTGCCAGGGCCTGGGTGCAGGGGAGAGGCGTGCAGAGCCGGGATCCCCGGGATCCCCGTTAAGCGGCAGACATGTAGTCAGGAGCAGCACAAGTCGCCTCTGGCAGCTTTTAAAGGACAAAGGCCAGGGAGGCCCAGAGAATTTGCTCTTCAGAAGGATTACAAGCAAAACAGATGGTGGGAATACAGTTGGTGGAATATTTTTGCACTTCAATAAAGCAATTTTTGTGTGGGCTACTGAATTTTCTTCCCCTAAATGAGCACCAGCTTGGAGACAGCTGTGAGTCACTAGCAAACAATTAGCTGAGAGGCAGAGGGCGTGGGAGGGGGCGGGGAGGGCTGTCTGGTGGGGGCTGGAGGAGATTCTTGGTACTTGTTTGTGTGTTCTGGGTTTGGTGGTGGGCGACCCCCGCCTGATGCTACTAGGAAGTGGCGAGCCAGGGTGTGGGATCGGCAGGGGTGGGTGCGTGCAGGCTGGCCCGCCCGCATCCAACAAGTGCTCTGAGCAGAAACCCCCAGGAGGAATGGGGACAGGCCAGGGCCGGGGGCAGAGCGGCCGTGGATCATGGCCGGGGTCGGGGGCGTCCTCTGAGAAGGGACAGGTCTACAAGAGCATGCTGGAGCGCTCTACACACACAGGGCCTTCTGGGGACTCCCGGAGGACACCATGGCCCGTGAGTTCTACCGCACCATAGATGCAGCCCAGATGCTGGGGAGGGAGTGGTGCACACGGGAGGGGCGGAGTCCTGCTGACCTGACCCAGTGAGGGTGGAGACAAGTCAGGAGGAGGCAGGGGCCCTTAGGGGAGCTCCCGGGAGCCCCCTCCCCTCCGGATCCTGCTGTCTGGCCGGGCCTCAGCCCTGCCCCCACTGCCAGGTCAGGAGGAACCTGCGGCTGACTGTTCCTGGATTCACGTGCTGCTCCTGCCCCGCCTCATCCCAGACTGCTCAGGACGGGCGACAGCTGAACACTGCCACGCCACGAAATCCTCGCAGCACTGGAGGAAGCGAGCCCGGACTTGGAGGGCTGTCCGGGGATGGAGACCGGAGGTTATCACAAGGACTGGAAGGCTATCTTCATTCTTGTTGGAAGAATTGCCAGGTAGGAGCTGTGTGGAGCTGTGTTCCCGGGTTCCAGCAGGTCACAGAAGCAAACCAGAGGCTGGAGGGGGCAGCCTCTCCCGCTCGCCCTGCCCGTCCACAGCCCTAGTCCCCTCCCCTGCTCCACATTTTCTATTTCATGGCGCTTAATATCTTGTACAGTTTTGCATACATTTTCAGCTATTGTGTTTATTTGTGCTCCACATTTCCCTTCCTTCACTAGAATGTGGACCGCTCACGGCGGGGATCTTTGTCTCACTCGCGTTGGGTGCATAGTAAGTGCTCAGCCAACACATGTGGGAGCCGGGCGGGGGGAGGTGTGAGTACTGTTTACTTAACATGCCAGGCATGGGGTGAGATGATGACTGATTTTTATTTCCTTTTATAAATGATTTATTTTCCAAGTTTCCTAGCAATATGCTTGAGCACGCACACACGTGCACACGCACGCATCTAAAAACCGCCACAAATGCCGCTCCTGCCGCGGGGCCCTGGTGCTGGGGCGCCGTCCCGCTGACGGCGGCCGCGTTCCTGTGCAGCCCTGCCCTGTCACGGCACTGTCTGGCCCTGTCCACCTGCCCTCTCCAGCCTGGCCCTGGAGGCCCTGGGCCATTTGGCTGGGGCTTCTCTTCCATTATGGTCACAGGGCCATTCCCATTCCTGGGACTGAACAGTCCCGCCTCTGGGCCTGTGTCTAAGCCTGGAGCCCTCATCCGTCCTCCCCAATACCCGCCAGCCTTCTAGGCCGAACTCCAGCGGCCTAGAGCACAGCTCCTGCCCACCTCCTCCCACGGCCACCGGGCCAGGCTGAGGCCCGTGCAGGAGCTCCTGCGTCCGCTGCCCTCCCACAGCCTCTGAGCCCACACACAGGGAGCACGGGTGTTTGTCCCCTTCCCTCGTCTCGGTCTTCCTCTGCCTCCCGCAGGTCCCGCTCTGTCTGTCTGTCTGTCTGTCTCCAGATCCTCAGTCCTCCCCCTCGTGCCTCCCCCACAGCTCCCTCCCTTCCTGCCCCACTGCCAGCTCCTGCGCTGTGCTCCATCCAGAAATGAGATCCTCCTGGGACCATGAGAGGCCTTGGAGCTGCAGGGAGGGAGCCCACCTACGGCGGGGGTCCTAGGCTGCTGGCTCAGCGTGTACCTGACAGCAGCCCCCCCTTCCCACGCCTCTCTGGGGTAGATCCTTCCTGGCACCCCTGGGGCAGAGAGAGTAGGAGCTGAGAGAGAGAGAGAGAGTGAATGCGAATTCCACGGCCTTGCTAAATAGCGAGGGTGGGCAGTCAGGAGGGGCTCCCACCCTGGGCGTGGGAGGGAGATGGCCCAGGGGAGGCCTCTGAGCCTCTGGACCCTGCCCAGGGACCGGGCCAGGGCTGCCCACTTGAGGGAGCAGGTCCGTTCTCCTGGACAGGCAGATGCCCGCCGGAGCAAGGACCTCATACAAGAAGCTGTCTTAAATCGCAGAGGGGCGGCGGGAAGGAGAGCTGAGAGCCCAGTCCTGGCCTCATCGCCGCTTTGCCTGCCAACCACAGTTTCCTCATCTGTACGGTGGGGTGGGAGTGGATGTCCAGCCAGATCCTCGGGTACACTTCCCACCCAAGGTACCCTGGCACTTGCATGGCCTCTCTCGGGTCACCTGGTAACTAAGGGGTGTCAGAGAAGCAAGAGACAGAGCAGGAGCTAGGCGCAGCGACAGGAGGCGGCACGGGACAGTGGTCAACAATGCGGCCACCTTGTCCGAGGAAGGGGGGCCAGTCCAGGCCTCCCTGCGTTCTGCAGGTGCGGTAGAGGGCAGGTTACTTAAACTCGGCCTCAGTTTGCTGCCCTGTATGATGCAGGATACAGAATCTAATCCATCGGGTAGTGGTGAGAATTGAGTGTAGTAACTTTCCCAAAGCACTTAGCACAGTGCCTGGCTCCTACGAAATGTTTGATAACCATTGGCTCCTGGTATTTTGCAGGGGAGTTCTATGCATTTAAAAGCTGTCTTGCACCTTTGGGGCCAGCATAGCATATGAATGACATAGAACAGAGGAGTGACAGATGGGCTGGCCTGAGGCCAGCCCAGCCAGGGTGCAATAGCCTGAGAACATGCTCATGCAACCGGGCCCTGGGTCCCCTAAATATTTATTGCTTCTTTTTCAGACTACATAAATATTATGTGTGCCCTATAAAAATTGGAGCACGCACACACACACAACAATATGGAAGAAAATAAGGATCAAATACTCAAGAGGGCCTGGGGTTGAATCCCAGCTGTGCCATCTAAGTATCACGTGACCTTGGGCAGAGCTCTTAATCACTCCAACCCTCAGTTTCCCTAAGGGTGTAATGGGGTAGCAGAGCGGCCATGAGGATGAGGTGTCAGAATCAGGCACTCGGCACTGGGTCTGGACTGAGGGAGCTTCTAGATAAGGCAGGCTCTCAGAATCACTTCACACTCTGCAATTTCTTTCAGCTTTTTTCTATGTGTAACTCTCATGTGCACAGGAGGAACATATGTATATATTCATTAGCTTGCGAATATGTTGCTTATTATTTCTATATTAAAATCATGTCACCTCATGAGGTGCTAGCACATAGGGAAGCTGTATGGTTTTGAATCCAGGAATCTATGACCCAAATACTTGAGTCAAACAAGTCAAACTCTTGGTTTAAGAGAGACTCCTGGCTCCATGAAGTGCTTGCCAACATTTCTTTCCTGCCTTGTATTCCCTGTGCACCCCCCCAACAGAAGACTTTCCCTAGTCCCCGCTTCCATGCATTTCTTTAAAAACCTTTATTTTGAAATAGAGACTCAGAGCAAGTTGCAAAGATAGGACAGACAGGTCCCGTGCACCTGTCACTCGGCTCCCCAGCGGGGACAGCTTCTATCAAGACCAGGGGTGTGGCCTTGTGCAGCTGTGTGGACAGCTCGATATTGCTTTGTCACAGGTGCAGCCACCATGACCAAGGCACAGAGCTGTTCCATTACCACCAAGGTCCCCTGGGATGGCCCCTGTAAAGTCCTCCCCAGCTTCTTCCCACCATGCCCACCCTGGACAGCCAACATTGTTTGCCACCTCTAATTCTGTTGTCTTGAGAATGTCCCTGTTATGGTTGGATAACAGTTTGAATGTCTCCTGCAGGCTCGTGTGTTGGAAGTCTGGTCACCAAAGTCTTATGTTAATGGTTAATGAGTTAATATCAATGGGTCCCGGGCAGAGATTTGAGCCTAACTGGTGTCTGGGAGGCGGCAGTGTGCCCAGGGGAGGTGTTCAGGTCTGCAGGGGTGGGTGATAAGGGCCCCCTTGGCCCACCTGCTCTCTCTGTTTCCTGCCTCACCACTTGGTTCCATGCCACCCTCGTCCAACTCCAGACCGACAGGGCCACTTGATCTTAGACTGTGAACCTCTAAAACCTCTCTCCTTCTCAGTTAGCTCCTCTCAGTGTTCTGGTGGCAGCAGGAAAATCCGACCGCCACAGTTCTGCAGGGAGAATCACCCAGTATGTGGCCGCTCCAGTGAACTTTCCCCAGTGTGCTGCGGCCGGACGTGCCGCCACGACACTCCTCGTCCTGCTGGGCGGTGTCCCGTGGTGTGGATGTGCCACGTGCCCACTGCAGGACATCTGGGTTGTCTCTGGGTTTTGGTTATTAGTGTGAAGAGTTGTGAGCGAATGTCAGTTTTCATCTGTCTGAGAGATGCCAAGGGGTATGCACACAGTGCCCAGCTCACGGGGGTTCCATCTACCGTTTTGTGAGTCCACGATGGTGCAACAGAAGCCTGGTGGCAGTGGCGCCGAGCCGGGGGACCCCCACGCTCTACAGCGCGCTGCGTTGCTAAGCCAGGGTGCTGGGCGGGGGAGATGTACTCAGGGCTTTTTTTCACTGGTGAAACTTTCCACCCACAACGGGCTTATTGCAGCACCGTCCCCGTGAGGGCAAGGGGCGTCAGCCATGCGTAGTGAGGCTGCTCTGATAGCAGAAGTTGCATGGTCGGAGTTTTGTTCTTAGAGAAAATTTCCTATTTCCCAGAAGTTGCACAATTTTGCTCTCGCCCTGCAGTGGACAAAAAGCCCGTTTCTCTGATCCCTTGGAGTGCGCAGATCCCCGCCAGCACTTGGCATTGACTCCAGTTATTATTATTATTATTATTATTTTTTTTTTTTACAGGCAGAGTGGACAGTGAGAGAGAGAAACAGAGAGAAAGGTCTTCCTTTTGCCGTTGGTTCACCCTCCAATGGCCACCGCGGCCGGCGTGCTGCGGCCGGCGCACCGTGCTGATCCGATGGCAGGAGCCAGGTGCTTCTCCTGGTCTCCCATGGGATGCGGGGCCCAAGGACTTGGGCCATCCTCCATTGCACTCCCTGGCCACAGCAGAGAGCTGGCCTGGAAGAGGGGCAACCGGGACAGAATCTGGCGCCCCGACTGGGACTAGAACCCGGTGTGCCGGCGCCGCAAGGCGGAAGATTAGCCTAGTCGCGGCACTGGCCCGACTCCAGTTTTGATTCTGGCTGTTCTAATGAGCGTGTAGTGACTCACAGCCTATCAATGCCATGGATGTGCTGTGTATGTGCTCACATGACACATGCATGTCATGTGACACATGTAAAAATGGCAGGCTTTTCCCATCCCCCATCCCCTGCCAGGAACCAATTCTCTGCTCCAGATGGTGACAACACAGGACCTCCCTCCCCAGGCTTCCTTGCAAAGAAGGACATGGTGGCTCTGTTGAGACCACTTACAGACAGAAGCAGCTCCCAAGAGGCTAGGGCCAAGCTGGTGCAGACCAGCATTTAAAGGACAAGCGGAGGATTAAACACTCGGACCCCATGGCGAGCTGTTCCACGGGGGCAAGTGAGGGGCGCGAAGACCCAGCCTGTGTTTCCGCTGCTGTCCTCCTGAGCTCAGCGTCACCCCACGAGCAGGGCTTGCCTCCCACAGTTCTATCCCCCATGGCCGTGAGCCCCCACAGGCCCTGACTCACCCAGGCCGAAGTGCGCCACGGGCTCCATCTCGCACAGGTAGCCTGAGCCGCCGTCGATGATGCGCAGGTGCGCCCCACTCTTCTTGGTGTAGAGCACGACCTTGGCGCCCCTGGCGAAGGCCCCAAACCGGGTCCGAGGCACCACCCTCAGCCAGTTGTTGCTGAAGCCCTGTGGGGAGGGGAGGGTGGACGTGGGCACCGAGCCGGGCAGCAGGGAGCGAGGCCCGATGGGGAGAGGAAGGGGCGGAGGAGAGGGAGGTGGCCGGGCAAGGAAGGGGAGCCAGGCAAGGACTTCTGGCTGTGGGAGGAGAGCAGGAGGGCAGGCCTTCAGCGCCTGGGAGGAGCAGGGATGTGACAGCTGGAGGCAGGGGGTCAGGGCTCCTCCGGGCAGCCCCTCCCAGGCTTGTCTGTGCTTTCTCCGGGCCCCAGAATTCCCAAGCAAGCATCCCAGCCAGGTCCAGGAGAGCACCCTGCGTGGGGGTCTGTGGGGTCCCGAGCCCCATGCACACCTGGTTCCCCCGGAAGACGGACAGCGGCTGGGCCATGGACTCCCCGTGGGACAGGATGAGATCAAGCATCCCGTCTCTGTCGAAGTCGGTCACCACGCCCCCTGTGAACAATGCACCTCTGGAGTGCTGGGACAAGACCCCCTGCACTCCCCGGGACCACCCCGGGGCAGTGCAGCCTCAGCTCTCCCGGCTGTGTAGACCTCTTTCTCACCTTTCTGCTCTGGTTTGAATAACACACACCCTTTAGATTTGCAGGCTTGGGTCAATTTATCGAGTGCCTGCACATGCCTGGCCTCCTGTCGGTGCCAGGACAGACGTAATCACCCAGTGGAAAGAACCTCCCCAGGAGCACCAAGCCAGGCAGCAGCAGGCCTGGGTCTGGGCACTGCGGGTTCCGTGCTCTTTGTCTGATGCCAAGCTGGGTGCTGAGAGGGGAGGGGCCAGAGGCAGGACGCATTCCTCTGTATCCCAGCCCTCTCTGGTAAGGCACAGCCAGACACCAGAGACCCCCACTCCCACGGCCACCCCTGGCCTGGCCGTCCTGCAGGCCCCTGCCCTCCCGCCGCAGCCCGCAGGCGTCCTCACCTGTGCCCCGGCCCTCAGGCTCCAGGGCATCACCAGGATTGAGCTCCTCGATGAGGGGGTCCCCGTGTTCCCTGCGGATGACTCTGCAGGGGAGAGGCAGGCCCGTCGGGGTGAGGCCCCCGGGGGCCCGCTTGCTACCCTCTGTCCCCCAAGCATGGCCACCAGCGGAGCCGCTCTGTTCACAGGCCCTGCCTGCACCCTGGCCATTCCCTTCTTGCGTTTTAATTTATGTGGCTAACTATTGACTTTTCCTTCTCTAATGGATGAATTACCGACAGCCCGGGGCAGGGCAGCTGATGGATGGTGAAGGGGCAGGGATGCAACTACCTCCAACTGACCTTCGCCTTCCTTCAGGGGCCTGGGGACTCCTGGCTCGGACGCCTCCCAGGGCTCAAACCCCTCCCATCCCCCGCCCCCGCCCCTCCCTGATGGTCTTGCTGGAAGGGTCCCCCTCTGCCCCTGGCCTCGGTCACTTCGGGCCTGCGTGAGCACAAGCTTTGCAGGCTGGGGCCTCTCCTGCAGCACCTGACCTACAGCTGCCACAGTGCCCGGCTCTGGCAAAGCTCCACACGGCCCATGGGCTGCGTGGGACCTCCAGGAGCAAACGGGAGGAGAGGGGACCCTTTGCGTGCAGGGTTCTGTCTGGACTCTGAATCTTGGTAATAGGCATTTGTTTGATAAGCCTGCATCAAAGCCCTGGCTCCCCTCACCCACCATGCTGTGGCATCTCAGTGGACTCCCAGCAGCCCGGGAGCACTGCCCTAAAGGGGGCCGGGAGGAATGGGGGCAAGCCACGGCACTGTCTGGGCAGTGCACGGTAGGTGTAGGTGCGCGTAGGTGTGCGTGGGTGTGTGCACGCCTGCAGGAGGTGAGGCCTCAGCCTGCTGACATCCACTGTCCCTTGACGGCTCAGGTCCTGCAGATTCTGCCCCAGCCCGGCAGGGAGCCCTCTTGGGCTAGCAGACAATGCAGTGAAGGACTCCTCTGGACAAACCTGGCCCCTGTCACTCAGCTGAAGAGGAGGAGCAAGGATGAGAGGGTGTGGGCGGCATGAGGCCCAGGCCTGGTGCAGCCCGGAATGAAAGGAGCATGTGCAGAGAGCTGGGACCGTCTCTGAAGGCCAAGAGTTAGGAGAGCAAGAGGCGCGTGGCCAGCTGTGAGTTCTCAACAGCTGCTCTGCAGGACGGACAAGGGTCCACTGGAAGCGGGTGTGGGAACCCCAAGGGAGGCCAAGGGCTGGTGGAGAGCAGGTTGGGGGCCTGTTTCAAGGTGCAAGTGGGGTGACCACATCCCACAGCTGGCCTGGGAGAGCCCCTGTTTGCACCTGCTGTGCCGTGGTGGCCAGGGCTCCCTCGTCCACTCACTATGTCCCGTTTGGATGAGGGGGTCCCTGGCTGCCCTTGCTGCCACCACAGGGCTTGCAGACTCAAGCACACGAAGCTTTGGAGCCCAGGGCCTGGCTGTGGCCTGGGGCCAAGGAGGCCACGATGTTCTGTCCTGTGACAGGCAAGAAGCCCCTGCAGTGCGGGACTGGGAGGTGGGGACTAACCCTCCAGCTGCAGCCCCTGAGCCGTGTGCCCAGGACCCAGCCATCTGCTCGGGCACTTGGGGCACTGCCACATTCCTGGAAGTGGCTTGCCCTGCGCTGTGGAAGTATGCACACTACATCACTGGGAGGCCCCGTGGCGACTCTGGCCACTGACAGCCCTGAGCCAGCCCATCTTGGGCAGCTGGAAGGAAGGCTGAGTTTGGAAGCAGGCAGGGGCAGCGCCCTGGTTCTCTGGCCGCAGAGACGGGAGCACTGGACTCTGCAGCTCAGGGGCCCGGCCAGTGACACTTTATTAGCGGAGAAGGAAAGCAGTGTCTCTGTTAACGAGCAATTGATCTTCTGCAATTAATCTGGAAGTTGTGAATAAGCTTTTTGCAAGGCACCTAATTAGTAAATCTGGTGCCTTTGGGGGTGATTACATCCAGTCAGGATGGATGCTTGGCTAATAATTATATTTTCAAACATGCTTAGTCACAGCTCACGCCTTTTATTAATAGTTGGGCCCTCCTGGGTGAGGAGGTAGGGACTTTGGGCGCCAGGCAGGTGATCTGACCCATTTCCTGGACCCAGGCCTTTGGTCCACCCTCTTGGCCTCCCTGCCCAGTCCTGAGCCCCGCTGGGGTGTTTTAGGCCAGGAATAGCACATGACCTGAGGTAGGTTCCCCAGCAGTGGTTCTGACTGCGATGAGGCAGCAGGTACCCACTGCGCATGGTGGAGTCTGGGCCCCTGGTCTCCTCCCCTACACCCGCTCCAACTCAGATTGTGGAGATCCGGGATCTGCACCCTACAGACACACTGGGCAGTTCTGTTGTGATTGCGCCGGCCCCTGAGAGAGAAGCGTGGCGGGTGAACAGGCAGCCCTCCCCTTCCCCCTGCCCAGGAACACAACACCAGGTGTCTGCAGACCCGTCTGTCACTGACAGCGGCGTCCTGGCTGACCATCAGTTGTCTCCTCCAGCACTTTGCAAAGAATGCTGCGCAGGCCGCCAGGCACGAGAGAAAGCCCTTGGGGACAGGGACAGGTGTCCTGTGGTCACGTCTGTTTAGAACACCCCGTCTATCTCTGGCAAAGCTGAAATATTTGTGGTCTTGCTAGTGGCTCTGAGAAGCCTATGGTAAATAAAGCCGTTCATCTTGGCTCACCCCAGCCTCACCCAGACACATCTGTTCCGGGAGGCTGTGGGTCTCTGTCTCGTGGAGCTGGGGCTTGGGGCGCACCACAGGCCTCAGCTCCTTGCCCCGGGGGCTCTGCCCACCCCCGCAGCCTCATGTTCTCGCCTTGTCTTTATCAGGGGCCCTCTTCTGCCTTGGCACTGGCTGCCTGGCCCTGGCCATCCTTCCCTCCTGACTCCTGAACCTTCCTCCTGGACCCAGCCTCCTGGCTGTCAAGGGCGAGGGGCCATGAGCTGGGCGGGGCGTCTACCGGAAGAGGCGGTTGGCGGAGGGGCTGCGGTAGGCGATGTTGTTGAAGAAGATCTCCAGCTCCTGGTCATTGTCAAAGTCGGCGGCGATGACGGTGCGCACAGGGGAAGGCATGGAGAACTTGGGCGAGGCGATGTCCTGGAGGAGAGAGGGCTGCAGGTCAGTGGGCGGGGTGAGGGCACGGGCAGGAGCCGACCCTGTCTGCTCTGAGCGTGGGGGTGCAGACAAGAGACCCAGCGCTTCCTCTCTCACCTCTCCAGGAGGGACCTGGTGGTGGTGGTGGTGGGGGGGAGGCTGCCTCTAGGAGCTCAAGAGCTGCAGGCTGCTTGGAGGAGGAGGAGGAAGGGTAATGGGCCCAGTTCACACCAGTGAAGTCCTCGGCCACCCCTCTTCCGGACCACACTTAACCTTCTCAGTAGTCCCTAGAGGCAGGGCAGACATGAGTGCTCCCATTTCACAGGTGAAATAACTGAGACCTGGAAAGAGGCAGGGGACTGCTGAAGCCAGGGCTTCTGCTTCTAGGTGCTGGGCCCATCCTGCTCCGTGTGCTTTCTCCTCTGCCGTGAGTTGGGAGCCTGGTGGGCACTGTGCTCCGTTACTGCTGAGCTGAGCCATCCTGGGCAAGTCACTCAAGCTCCCGGCTCCACTCTGCTCATCAGCAACACTGGGACAAGCACAGCCGCCTGGGGGGCGAGGACTGCATGTAAAACGCTTGGCCCAGAGTGGGCCCCCGCTGGGTGGCTTGCCTCGTCCCCACCGTCGGCCTCCTGGGAGGGGTAGGAGGCTGCTACGGCCCTGATGCTGGCTCCCAGAGCCTGTTGATTTTCTGCTTTGAGTCACTTGCTTTGTGGGGAGTGCAGTATCTAGAACGTTCGAGCAAACTCCAGACCCAGTGCTGGAATAGCCTGGGGCGGGCCTGGCCAAGGGTCCCAAGGCTGGGGTTTGCCTCTGAAACAGGAGCAGCCTGTGCAGGGGACCTTCGTTTCTGGGCAGAATATCCGTCCCCACGCTACGTGGGTTTGTCCCTTCCAGCCCTGGGAGCCTGTGTGAAGGGGCACACCAGCATCTCCACGAGGCCCCTCTGCCCCCAGGCCTGGCCCTGTCCTCAGCCTCCTGCTGCAGGCCTGCTCTGGTGGCCAGAGGCCTGAGTCTGCCTGGATAAACTGCCTGCTCTGGAACCAGGGACGGCGGCAGCAGTGAGGAAGTTGATTAAGAGCCTGGCCAGCTGGTCGGGGTGGGCTGGGCCGGGCCTTAGCCTTAAGAGCCGGGGAAGAGGGGGATCTCAGACCTAATTCTAACTCATGATTGTCCTATCGATCCTACGCCACCCCTTGGGGTTGCCCCACTGCATGCTTGGGCTTCTGAGATAATGTATGCAAGCTCCTAGCACCGTTGCTGGCTCGTAGAGGCCCCTGACAAAGGGGGCACTGAGGGTGATGGGGGGCTTACTCGCGGGAGCTCTGGGAGGGGCCAGCAGGAGGGCTGACAGGGTTTCTCGAGCCCCAGCACCTGACATGCAGGCCGGGACAGCTCTTTGCTGGGGGCTGTCCTACGCGCTGCCTGACGTTCAGTGGTGCCCCTGGCCTCAGCGCCCAGGTGCCCACAGCTGTGACCGCCACGAAGGTCCCCAGATATTGTCCAATGTCTTAGGATGAGGGGCAAAGTCGTTCCTGCTGAGGACCTGAGTTGGAACGAAAGCCGGATAAGGACGGGAATCACTCAGGATCCCAGGACTGGCTGCGCTGATGTCAGGCCACACCTCCTCCCCCCGCCTGGAGAGCCCGAGGCCCGAGGCCCAGCAGGCAGGCTGGGCCCAAGCACCCAATGTGGCTCCTGTCGGGGGCTTGTGGTGGTGGCCTCCCCATGTCACACAGACACAGGTCCCTGGAGACTTCCCTGGGACCAGAGAGCTTCAGGAAAACACTGGAACTTTCTCGCCCCCTTTGGACTTTTTGGCAAGACCTGAGCACCTTCAGTACCACCCCTGGAATCAGCTTCAACGATCCCACGCCCTCTGCCATCCTCCTGACCAAGCCCTAGGCTCAAGCTCCGCAGGCTGGCGGCACCTGCAGCACCGTCACCACACAGGGTCTCAGGGACGGGCTTGAGGCCACCTCGCCCACCGTCCGTCTGTCCTGGGTGGCAGCTGCTGGGAACACCGGGGCCTCAGCCTCCCTCTCTCTCCCACTACATCACCAGGGTCTGAACCTCAACTTGGGAAGCTCAGGCTGGAGTTGCCGACCAGGTTTCCCGGAAGCAGCAAGAAAGGCGGCTGGATGCGAAGGCAGTCCGCCTCCCCTGTGCACCTGCTGCTGTCTGCTCTGGGCACCAGATCCACAGCAGCCCAGGCTGGAGACCGCTGGCCCGGGCCAGCCCCAGTCCCCGCTTAGCCTGGTGGGAGGCACGGGGCAGGGGCAGGGGGCCGGGGGAGGCTGGGAGGTGCCCCCTTCTTACCCGAAAGCGGACCTTGCCGTGGACGCTCATCTGCAGGTAGAGGCGGTGGGGGCCGTTCCAGTTGCCGTAGACGATGTCCACTTTGCCGTCACGGTTGAAGTCGGCCAGGGCGACACCTCGCCCGTGCTGGTGGGGGTCGTCCACACCTGTGGGTGGGGGGCGGGGAAGGGAGAGGAGTCCTCAGGGCAGTGTCGCCTGCACATTCCGCAAGCACTCTCCTCGGGGCACAAGGGAGAACGACCCTCAAACCTCCCTGGCCTGTTGGGCACCTCAGGTGTCTGGGGCAGGAGGTGGGACAGGGGTCTGGGTGCAGAGAGGACCAGAGACTCACCCGCAAGCTGCTTTTACACAGCAAGCAGGTTCTTCCTATTCCGGGTTGGGCAGCACAGGTGGGGGCGGGGACTGGAAGGACAGCTGGAGGCCAAAGCCCCCACCCTGGCCACCCCAGTGCAGCCTCAGGGACACCTCGAATGTGACTCCTTTGCTTCAGTCTCTCAACGGCTCCCCAGGCCTCTGGGGTCAAGTTCAAATTCCTGCTTCAAGGCCCGGCCTGGCGGGGCCCCTGCCTGGGCCCCTGCCTGGCTCACCTGGTCTCTACCCAGTGCTGCTCTTCTCCTAACTCTGAGCTCTGCTCCCTGTGGTCCTTTCATGCCTTGAAAAAACCAGGTTCTTCCCAGCTTCTGGGCCTCTGCTCAGACTGCTCTCTCTGCCTGAGGGACCTTCCTGGGCTCCTGGTTATCTGACTGCTGGTCATTCTGCTCTCAGTCACAATGTCACCTCCTCAGGGAAGCCTTCCCTGATCTCCCACCCCGCCTCCAGCCTCCCCTTCTTCCGTGTCCAGTGGGGATCACCAGGAGCTGTCGTGTTCCCTGGTGGTGTCCTTGTTAGGGTCTCACTTTCCGGGCAAACCCCACCCTCTGTGAGCTAGGACGCTCTTCCTGGTTCCCCTGTGTCTCAGTGTCTGCAGTGGCCTGGTGGCTTTGAGTAAGTGCCCGCTGAATGAATGAAGACACAAATAATTTGACAGAAGGCAAAGCGGGGACATTGTGACAGCAGAGGAAATACTGCAGCTGTGACAGAGAAGCCCACAGTGTGCCTTTTGAGACCTGGGGAGGCAGGCTCTGTGTTCAGTGTCACCTGCGCACAGCACTCCTGGGGCAGGAGGGAGGGTGGCCTGACCCGAGCAATGGCCTGACCTCTTGCCGCCCAAGGCAGACCTGCTCCCCCAGGCAAATGGGAGCTGAGACACGGGGATTGCCAACTGGATGCGCCCACACTGACTATCAGAGAACAAACAGCTGGTGCTCAGCGGGGTGGGCTGCGGAACCCAGTGATGATTGAGGGGTGGGGTGCAGGGCCGGAGACCTCAGGGCACAGCTGCAAACCGGAAGTTCCTGAGGGTGGGAGCTGGGAGGAGGGGTGAGACCTTCTGAGAACCTTGGGGGCTGAGCATCCGTGGGGGGTGGGCACGAAGGGGAGAAGAGGCAGTGAGACCAAGCGAGAGGGGATTTCCAGGAGACCGGGGCAGCCTCCAGTTCTAGGATTAATACCCCATTAATTCTCAGCCAAACTGCCCGGCCCGGGCGTCGGCGGCCTTCTGCATTGGCCCATTTCTCTCCCATCCATGAGGCACCGTGACAAGGAGCTGGGTCCCTTTCCCGGGAACACTCAGGGCCAGGCCGCGTTTCCCAGCAGCATCTGTTTGGGTGATGAATGCCCTCTTGACATGTCTTGTTAAACCTCTGCAATCATTCTGACTTTCAATTACGGGCCTCGCACCTTCCTCTCTCCTCTTGCCTGATACCTGCTCCCGCTCCAGCGTGTCCGCTCACCTCCGCTTCGTCTCTTTCACACCTTATCAAGTCCTCGGGGCTCTCTCCACCACCCCTCCTCTTCGCTTTATGGGTTTTCAGCAATGAGGAAATTTGCTGGCAGAGTGTGGCACTGGGAGGGGGGAGCTGGGGAGCTGTGCCCCGACTTTGCCTTTGCTGGGAAGGGAGAAGGGGTCAGGTCAGGAGGCGGCTGGCTGGCTATGGGCTGGGGGCGGGCGGCTGTGCTGAGCCAGCAGTCCCCCCAAATGCAGCTTCCTGAGCAGAGGGCCGGCGGGGTGGATTCTCATAAGTCAGAGAGTGTGGACGGACTCGCGCTCTGGGCCTGGCCGGCAGCTGCGACCTGGCTGGCGCTTGCAGGACCTTCGGCTTTTGTGTCTAGATCCCCACCCGCCTCTTTTTCTGCAGTCAGAGCTCTGCTCTGTGCTTCCAAGAAGCAGGAGGAATCAAACAGTTCTTTGGCAAGGCAGGCAGGAAGGAAGGAGGGCTTGGACAGCTGACTGAGACCACTCTGTCTTCTTGGGTGGCCACTGGGTGCCGAGCCTTGGGTCAAGAATGAATAGGACAGGGGCCGGCGCTGTGGCATAGCAGGAAAAGTCGCTGCCTGCAGCGCCAGCATCCCAAATGGGAGCCGGTTCTGGTCCCGGATGCTCCACTTCTGATCCAGCTCTCTGCTGTGGCCTGGGAAAGCAGTAGAAGATGGCCCAAGTCCTTGGGCGCCTGCACCCTCATGGGAGACCTGGAAGAAGCTCCTGGCTCCTGGCTTTAGATCGGTGCAGCTCCGGCCTTTGCAGTCAATTGGGGAGTGAACCATAGGATGGAAGACCTCTCTCTCCTCTCTCTCTCTCTCTCTCTCTCTCTCTCTCTCTATCTCTATCTCTCTGCCTCTCCTTCTCTCTCTGTGTAACTCTGACTTTGAAATAAATAAATAAATCTTTTTAAAAAATGAATAGGACAGTGCCCCAGGCTTGTAGAGCCTGCTGACAAATAGTGATGGCATCCGAGAAGCCTAAGTGAGAGTCCATGCAGGGGGTTGTGAGAACACTCAGGAGGGGCCAATCTCTACCAGTGGCACGGGGTGGGGGCGGGGCCAGGTAAGGCTTCACTGAGCTGACATCTGAGCTGAGCGTTCAAGGCTAGAGAGAAGAGCTGCAGATGGAGAAAGGGGACCGCAGTCCAGGCAGAGGGCATGGCAGGTGCAAAGGCCCTGCGGTTGATGAAGGAATGGGAAGGAGCACGGAGCTGGGAGCCTGGGACACTGCTTTGTGTACGTGTGTCCTGCTTGTTACTGCAGCTGTTTGTACACACATCTGTTTTTAGAGTATCAGTGCCTCTTCTGGGATGATCTTTGCCTTAGTCAAGTCAACTCCTAGCACCAGCTGGGCACTTAGCAGGGGTTCCATCAGTGGTGACTGGATTACACTGAATGCTTAAGACCAAATGGAGAGGCAGCCAAGAAGGGAAACTGAGGCTGAGAGACACAAGCTGGTCTCTGAGGATTACCGGCCAACTCCAGTCACGGGGGAGATGTCACGGTCAGGAGGCCCAGACCCCCTTTCCCAGCAGCCGGGCAGCGGGTGACGTGGACTCGGAGGTGAGGGCGCCGGTTCCGACCTCTCTGAGGCCGAGGAGGCCCCTGCTGGAGGGGGCGGGCTGCGCGGCACTCACCGGCGCTGGCTGCGGCGTCCACGAACGTGCCGTTGCCTTGGTTGTGGAAGAGGAAGTTGGGGCCGTTCTCGTTGTCGCAGAAGATGTCCGAGGCACTGCTGCTGAGGATGGGGCCCACGCTGACACCTCGGCCCCCTAGGACGGCACACGGACCCCCAGTGAGCAGCAGAAGCAGAGCCCGGAGCGGCCTGCAGCATGGGGGCTGCCCCTGCCGCCTGGCAAAGCTGCAGAGGAGGTGGGGCCCTGGGGTGGGGGTGGCAACTCCGACCTTCCAGACACTGCCCGGAGGCTCATAGTCTCCCATTACCTGAGTGGAGACAGCACAGAGGCTGAGGCTGACCAGAGCCACATCGCTGTGTGTCAAAGAAATGCAAGCGTGCACTAGCGACAGGCCAGGGCGCTGCCCCTCCCGTCCCTCCACAGAGAACAGCCGACTCACATCATCCTAAGCCGAGCTTTGCTCAAATCGCAGGTGCACCTGACCACCTCCTCCACCCCAGTCCGAGTCCCATATCCGCTGACCACATATGCTGGGTGTGTCCCACAGGAATAGGCCCCAGCTCCAGGCACAGGACCAGGCCGCTCGCTTTGCTGCGTCTGACGTAGCAGACAATCGTGTGTATCAACAGCAAGCTGGTTCCATGGGCTACAGCGCATCCATGCTGCAGACCGGTCTTCAGCCACTGGAAAGCCTGGGCAAGTCTGCGAACTTGGACTTGGAGGAGCGCCCATGACCCATTGTCAGGGGAAAGAGCAACCCTCCGAGTCATGGCATTGGGGGATGGTGTTTCCATGAAAAGGAAAGGCACATACATGGTGTTTCTGAATATACGTGCTCTCGCAAGCTTGTTCAAGTTCAGGGAAAGTGGGACAGGTCACGCCCCACGCTGCAAAAAAAAACCAGGAGGATTGGGGAGGGAAGGCGAGGCGGTAGTGGCCTTTTCTTTGAACGTCTCTGCATTGTTTGGCTGGTTGCAACAAGAATTGCTCCTGCAGTTTGAAAGGGAAAGAATCCAATAAAGCATATATTTAAAAAGGAAAGAAATCAAGCCAGCTGTACATTAGGCTTTGAAGTCTCCAAGATCAAGCGTGAGCTGCCCGTGTCAGGAAGTCCAGCCCTAGCGCGTGCCGAGTGCACCGGCCCCAGCCAGCGGGCTTCAACACAGCCGCTGTGCTCGCCCGGCCCGCCGCCCCTACGCATTGGGAATGAAGTGCAGAAAGCCGCCTGGCCGGGACCGGGACGTGGGTTCCAGTCCCAGCTTGGCTTTGCACAGGTCGTGCGGGCTGGGGCAAGTTCTGTTACTTTCTCAGCCTCCGTTTTCCCATCTGTGAAGTGGACAGAGACTGTCCTGCCTTTTCCACTTCAGGGATTTTGAGAGGATCAAACGAGGTGAGAGATACCTGTTAGAACGGGAATTCTAAAAAAGACTGAAGATTACAAGTGTCAGCGCAAGCGTGGAGGGAAGGGAATCCTTGTACTGTTGACGGGAATGGGAATGAGCACAGTCAGTATGGAAAACAGTCTAGAGGCTCCTCAAGAAATCAAAACTAGGGGCCGGTGCTGTGGCACAGCAGGTTAAGCTGCTGCCTGCAGCGCAGGCGTGAATTATGGCTGCCGGTTCGAGTCCTGGCTGCTCCACTTCCAATCCAGCTCCCTGCTAACGGGTCTGGGAAAGCAGCGGAGGATGGCTCAAGTGCTTGGGGCCCTGCGCCCACATGGGAGACCTGGAAAAAGCTCCTGGCTCCTAGCTTTGGCCTGGCCCAGACCTGGTCATTGTGGTCATTTGGGCAGTGAACCAGTGGATGAAGTCCTTTGTCTCTTTCTCTGTGTATTTCTCCCTTTTTCTTTGTAACTCTGCTTTTCAAATCAATAAAATAAATCTTATAAAAAAGGAAATTAAAAATAGATTGTCCTATGGTCCAGCAATCCCAGCACTGGGTACACACCCAACAGAACTGCAATCAGTATGTTGAAGCCATCTGCACTCACATGTTTATTACAGCACAGTTCAGTGTCAAGCTACAGGATCAACCTAGGTGTATATCAGCTGATGAATGGGTAAAGAAAACAGAGACAAAGAAATGATAAGAGATGAAACGTTAATCACCCTGATCTGATCATTCTGCATTGTATACATGTACTGAATTATCCTCTTGGTCCTCATAAATATGTACAAACATTGCGTGTCAATTAAAAAGCAAAAATAACCCTCGAGAAGAAAATGTGGCAGAGACACACAATGGACCATTATTCAGTCTGAAAAGAGAGGGTCTTGTCTTTGTGACAGCGTGGATGGACCCGGAGGGCGTTACGCCAAGAGAAAGAAGCCAGCCCAGGGGCAGATACTGCAGGTGCAGCCTGAAAAAGTGGCACTCACAGACGCACAGGGTGCAATGGTTTCCAGGGGCTGCGGTTGGGGCTGGGCGAGCTGGGGACATGTTGGTCAGAGGATAGGCGTTCATGAGCTCTGCGTACAACTTGCTGACTACAGTTACCAACCAGGAACAAGGGGACCTCAGGATCAGTACAGCCAGTACAAGGGGACCTCATAGAGTTCATGGAACACGGAGTGAAAAGATGCTTATTTTTATGTACTTTTTTTTTTTTAAATCCATGCACAGTGTTTCATAATACGCACTTTCCATGAGCTTCACGAAGATGCTCCTATACTTGAAGTGACTAGGGGAGCTTAAATGTTCTCAACACGAAGTGTGTGCAGTAAGGCAAATGTGGATTAGCCCGATGTAGCCATTGCACAGCGTAGACATAAGACATCATGTTGTACATGACAACTCCACACAATGTTTGACAGCTTAAGAAATGAAATGGAATCTAAGAAAGGGCTTCGCAGACCAGCTGCGGGTACCACAGCGAGGGGCCCCGCCTGGATCAGACCCTGCACCCTAACGAGACCCCTGGTGGCGTGCGGGCACTGTCACGTTCCAAGAGCACTGCTCCAAGGGCTGCTCAGCGGAGGAAGAGCAGTCGCCAGGGGCTGCAGTCGCCAGGGGGCTGCGGAACTTGCTTTTTAAAAAACCAGGTGAGACCCCGGCAGACTTGTGTGATGCTGGCCAGGCCCCCAGCCACCCACCGTGGTCCGGGGCTGACGGCTTCCTAAGGCCCCTGTGCTAACGTGAGAAGGGCTCTCTCTGCTTTGCAAGATGGCACTGGAGGAAATCACCGAGCCTGCCCCCTGGTGCTGGCGTTCACGGCCAGGGAGATGGCTGGGCAAGGGCACGGCCACTCTTCTCACTCTCAAGGTCGGAGTCCTTGCTAGTATACGCCGGGCCCTGTGCCCACGCCTCCCGAAACCAGCCTCATGGTCCCCATCGTTCCTGGGGCGCATCCTCCGAGGTACAGCATCTGCTTTCCACGGGATTTGGAGTGGGGTGGCTTTTGGGGGTCTTTCCAAGGCCAGCAGGAAGGGTGCTCAGCCGCACCCTGGGCGCCACCTCTGCCCATTAAAAGAGGGGCCACTTAGTGGCTGCTGTCCCTGCCCTGGTCCTGCCTGATTCCAGCCCGGGGCTGGCTTCCGTGAGAAAGCACTGGCCCTGGCCAGGCCTCCGGAGGTTCCAGGTGGCGCCCAGGGACCCGCCGCCGTGCGCCTCCATCCTTCTTCTCCACTCTGCATCCTCCAGTTTCCTCTCTGCCTCTGGCTCCCAAGCCGTGACACATTCCCTTCATTTTCTGCAAAGCAGGTTATTTCCCTTTTGGACAAATTTCTAAATCTTTCTAATTAACTAATTGGGTTGGGTTGAAGCCTCGCACCATTTGTAACCTGTAATTACTAGAAAATTGCCATGGTAACCACACTACTAATTAGTGACAATTTATTGCCATGGCAACTGGACCATAACAGAGATGTTACCCACAACTCCTTCTTGGCAAGTTGGCTGTGCAGTTGGGGAGCAGGTGAGCCGACAGTCAGGGAGCCCGCCTCCTGGGCACCAGCCCCAGCCGCCTCAGGGAGGGGCTCCAACTGCACTCGGAGACAGGGGCAGCCAGGTGTCCGCACCTCCCACCGATGCCACAGGGGAAACCAACTTCCAGGTCTTCAAGCCAAGCAAGCCTACCTACCTGTGGTACATGGAGCCTGTCTCTCCTACTCCCTGCCTGTTCTCTGTCTCGTTCAGCAGCTATTAGAACCTTCCCTTTCCTCTTCTTCCTCCCACCTCCCTCTCTCGTCTCTCTCTTCCATCCTCCCTTCCTTTTTGAAAGGTAGAATGACCGAGAGAGGGAGGGAGACAGAGAGAGATCTCCCATCTGCTGGGTCACTTCCCACATGTCTGAAACAGCTGGGGCTGGGCCAGGCTGAAGTCAGGAGCCAGGAACTTCATCCATGTCTCCCACAGGGGTGGCAGAGACCCACGTACTTGAGTCTTTCTGCCTCCCAGAGCGCGCAGCAGCAGGAAACGGAAATCAGCACATCTGGGACTTGAATGCAGGCCTTCCATAGGAGACACAGGTGTTCCGAGAGACGTCGTAACCGCGGTGCCAAACACCCGCCCCTCTTCTTCCTCCTTTGTCAGCCTCTCCTACACCTCCTAAGGTTCAGCACACACAAGGGGCTCCCCAGGGCACCTGGGGACAGCCGTGTTGAGCCTTGGAGAACAACGTCCTAACGCAGTGAACTCTGCTCGCATCCATCAGATGCAGATGTTTGTTCACTGCAGGCCAGCACATTCTCTTGGGGACACACGGCTCCCCAGCTGAGGCTGGAGGCTTGGGCTGGTGATCAGTAAGTGCAAGTGTGAGCTGTGTGACCTTGGGCACATCACCGACCCTTTCTGGCTTCTGTTTTCTCACCTGTAACGTGAGATTGACGATAATAATCGCTCCTTCTCAGGGCTGTCATAAATACTAAGTGAGCTGGTTTTTGGAAGGTACCTTGGAAAATGTCAGGTGCCACACAGTCATTAGCTGGGACTATTTACCACCTGCTGGGTGAATAATACGCCTTTATTTTCCCCCAGCACTTTCACGCTTCAAAGGCCGCCTCGGTCTGCAGTTGGGGTATAAATGCCCCCCCCCCGCCATCCCTCCCTGAGGGCACCCCATGTTCTCCTGCCACATTGCAGCACTGGCTCTGATGGTCTGCTCCTTGGGCCCAAGCCCATGGGGCAGCCTTGGCTGT